CCACTCACATGCTGAGTGAGACCAAAAGATTCAAGAACAGAACTCAGCTCTTTTGCATTTCTGTCATCAACATTATCCACATGAATATTAAAATCACCTGTAATAACTAAACTATCAAAAGAGTAGAGTAGGGAAGGGTATGGTAGGGTAGGGTAGAATTGAGGGGAGTAGTGTAGAGTATTGTAGAGGAGAAGAGAGGAGAGTAGGGTATGGTAAGGTAGAGTGGAGTAAAGTAGAGTAGAGTAGTTTAGGGTAGGGCTGGTGGAATCAGGGCTATAGCAGACATTACATAATATCTACTACTGCCCTCATTTTGAGAATTTGTCAAAATATTCTTTTCCTCCAGCTAGAATTTTCAAATTGTTTTCAAATATGTCTCGAATGCCACATATCTGTTTTTGTTTTATATAGAAAGAGAGAGATAGAAATATTTATTGACAGATAGACAGAAGGATGGATAGATGGATAAACATAAATAAATACAATATTCTAAAAGTTACAATAAATAGTAATAAAGTACACATGTTTAGCTCAGAGAAATCTCTTTTTCTACTTTTCGAGTGGTGGTGGAGCCAAGGCGCTGCAGTGATGGTGGGCGAAAAGGTTTCATATCTATAAATTCTTCTGGTTTCTTTGTCTCGGGGCCTTTTCCAGTTCTCAGAGAAACTGGAGCCACTGAACCAGACGGAGCTGAAGTGACCCAGAATGCACCAGCTCCACAGAAACCTCAGGGAGAGACATGTGTTTAACAAGAACAGTGTCGTTACATACAGAGCATTCAAGTTCAAAACAGAGAGAGTGTGTCTTAGTGAAGTCCTTCATCTCTGAGGACTTCACTAAGTTGTACATTCATCAACAACAGATCAGAGAATCAGACTGTTAAAACCCAGGCAATAATAACAAACACACACACAAATATTTATAAATGTATAGAATTGCCCCGGATCATCACTGTCACATATTGAGAGAGGGATCTGCTCTCGCCGCGGACAGGCTGTAAAACCAGGACTAAGGCTGTAGATCCAGGACCGAGGCTGCAGATCCAAGAATCAGAATCATTTTATTGCCACCTTTTCTGGGGTCTGATGAGCGTCGGCATCGGGCGCCTTAACCCGGCGTTCGGTTCATCCCGCAGCGCCAGTTCTGCTTACCAAAAGTGGCCCACTAAGACATAGGCTGTGTCCAAATTGCTAGGCATCTTCCCTACGTAGGCATGGTTTGTAGGCATCATGACGTCACTTCCGCATGCGCCGGGCATTGCAAGGGTGTCCACATTCAAAGTGGCGAGGTAGGCAGCGTAGGCATCTTCGTCTCCATGGAAACGGCCACTTTTGGGGCAGATCCTAAGGATACATCTGATGTATGCTTCGTTGCCTTATTTTTCCCGAGTCACGGCCGCACATGTGCAGAACTCCGTCCGGCTGTGAATCCAGGACTGAGGCTTTAGATCCAGGACTGAGGCTGTGGATCCAGGACTGAGGCTGTGGATCCAGGACTGAGGCTGTGGATCCAGGACTGAGGCTTTAAATCCAGGACTGAGGCTGTGGATCCAGGACTGAGGCTGTGGATCCAGGACTGAGGCTGTAGATCCAGGACTGAGGCTTTAGATCCAGGACTGAGGCTGTAGATCCAGGACTGAGGCTGTAGATCCAGGACTGAGGCTTTAGATCCAGGACTGAGGCTTTAGATCCAGGACTGAGGCTGTAGATCCAGGACTGAGGCTGTAGATCCAGGACTGAGGCTTTAGATCCAGGACTGAGGCTTTAGATCCAGGACTGAGGCTGTAGATCCAGGACTGAGGCTGTAGATCCAGGACTGAGGCTTTAGATCCAGGACTGAGGCTTTAGATCCAGGACTGAGGCTGTAGATCCAGGACTGAGGCTTTAGATCCAGGACTGAGGCTTTAGATCCAGGACTGAGGCTGTAGATCCAGGACTGAGGCTGTAGATCCAGGACTGAGGCTTTAGATCCAGGACTGAGGCTGTAGATCCAGGACTGAGGCTGTGGATCCAGGAATCAGACAATGAAATAGATAGTGGAACAGCGGTTGAATAGCAATAAACAGACTACAGCTCAAGTCAAAATGATGGCAGATAAAGCAGGAGAGAGGAGTGGATAGTGCTGTTACATACTTCTCCTGCTTCGGTCCCTCTCGTTCAAAGACACATTTAGTTTAATTATTGAAGGCACTTAACGGGTCAAGCTTGAGGGGATGTGAGCAGTTACACTATTTTTACACATTTAGCCTTTGATGTCATAAAGTATGTATCCAAACAGAAATGTAGAATTATAAAACATGCGTGACGATAATGACCTCTTCTCATGGACTGTATATAAATGAAGAGTGCTAACCCGCTAGCTCAATAGAGATAGACCAGAGAGAGACCAGAGTGAGACCAGATAGAGGCCAGAGAGAAACCAGATAGAGACCAGAGAGAGTGATCAAAGAGAGACCAGAGAGAGACCTGAGGGAGAGACCAGAGAACAACGGTAGGAGTTTATGCTGTCATTGTAATCATAAAAACATGTATATTTTGCAATAAATGGCTGCCTGTATATAAACTGTATTCAGTTGACATCACAGCCTGAAGCTCGACTCCAACAAAAACAAAATCCTTTGTTTTGACTCAACATAAGACTGTAACACTGTGATTAGTATTCAGTGTGAGATTTTACACCTGACAATCACACACACTCACACACAGATACTCACACACACAGAGACACACACACGAACACACTCACGCACATACACACACACACACACACACACACACACACACAGAGATGTGACGGTTTGTGGTGCAGAGGTGAAGCAGGAGGCGGTGATTGACAAACCCATAAATCCTTCAGCTCCTCGTCTGAACAGCTCTTTGCTTTTGAACAAGAGTGAGATACAAAAAACAGAGATAGAGACGCCAATTTATCTGACTATCGCACAAACAATCTGTGCCCAACTGCCTTTATGAAGATAAACTGTTCAAAAAAATGAGATGTATAATAGTAGCAGCAGTGGCTATACCTGCATCTGAAAGCAGCATCCTGTCAGACCTCTGAAGCTAAGCAGGGCAAGGTTAGTACTGCGATGGGAGACCGCTGGTAACACCAGGTGCCACAGCGAGGCGGCACAAGCAGCAGGAATAATAGTAGTAGTAGCAGCAATAGTTGCAATAGCAGTAGTAGTAGTAGCAGGAGTAGCAGTAATAGCACTGGATGACAAAAAAATATTTTTTGAAAATAGTCCAGGGTTTTCCAGCTGAATTGTGATGCTCTGAGTCCGAAAATGACCTTGGTTTTGCTCAATCAGGTCAGGATTTTTTTTTTTTTATCGATTTTGCGTAAAAAAAAAAAAAATACACATTTCTGCAGATCATCAGCTGAGAAACCCTCAATTTTCCTCAAGAAATAAAAGTCAACGTATCCAAAGTCATTCAGGTGTCTGGACAGGGAGGCTATGAATAGGGCAGGGGTCACCAACCTTTTTGAAACCAAGAGCTACTTCTTGGGTACTGATTAATGCGAAGGGCTACCAGTTTGTTACACACTTAAATAAATTGCCAGATATGGCCAATTTGCTCAATTTACCTTTAATTCTATGTTTTTACTAATAATTAATGATATTTATTTTGTGGAAAAACTTTTATATTTTCTCTAAGTGCACATTTTTCAAATTTAACAAATGATCACTTCTAAGACAGTCCCATTTAATCGCAATTAATCACATTTTAATCGCATATAAATATTTGACCTGAGAACAGTGAGAAGTAATTTTTTTCACATGGATTTTTAGTTTACCATTGAATAATGACTGAATACATGAGGCTTAAGCAACACATGTTAAAGTTTAAGGGATAACTTCTAAACATCAAATAACGTTTCTGTCATTGCCTCCTCACACTGACGACAACATACTCTTTTTAAGCCCAAAATCCACTGCACACGCTGTGAGCACTAAAGCTGGGCATGCGCTGTTTGCTAAAGCTTTTATAATACGTTTTTGATGTGTGCATTCGGAGTAAACATCAGCATTAGCAGCTCACACACCTGTGTCTCGCTCCTCCTTCTCCTTCTCCTCCTCCTCCGCTCACACAGGAGTCACTACTCCTCCTCCTCACACACAGAGTCCATCGCTCCATACACAGCGCTCATTCCCGTCTAATTTACTAGAATTTAAAGTTGGTCTCTGCTTGTAATAATGTACTTTTGAACAAGAAAAGTCACGGAGCTCCGGTTGGTGCGTCAGTTCAATTGGTCCGTCTGAAACTTATTCAGTGAGGAACGTTCCGCGGTGCAAAAATACATACAATTAAAATGCGTGATTTTTTTAACGCGCTTTTTTGTGTGTAATTAATTAATCTTTATTAACTTGTTAAAGTCCCGGCTCTAGTTTATATGCCATTTGTAAGTTGCATGTAAGTATGATTTAAACAAGAATAGCACTGGTAAGTGCTGCCATTTGAGCTATTTTTAGAACAGGCCAGCGGGCGACTCATCTGGTCCTTGCGGGCGACCTGGTGCCCGCGGGCACCGCGTTGGTGACCCCTGGAATAGGGAGTATCTTTTTGTGTAGCAAATGTATGTTTTTTTGTTTAATTTGTACCCTCTATGATTTAACTGGATTAGTTTGTTTATAATAAAATATCTCCTCGTCGCTACGGATTTGTTATTGAAACTCTCGAACACACCACACACGTAAAACGTAGACGTACGTAATCCGTAACACTATGGCTGTATCTCAAAAAGTTGACCGGATAGAGCAAATGCATGTTATATTCGGACTCAGAACACCAAAATTAGTCTAAATCAGTTGAGAAACCCCTGACCCTTTTTTGGCTGTCAACTTGTGTAGGAGTAGTAAAATTGCAGTAGTAGTACTAGTAGCAGGAGTAGCAGCAAGAGTAGTAGTACACACACACACACACACACACACACACGCGCGCGCGCACGCACACGCACACGCACACGCACACTAACCTGCCTCCCTCTTTCTCTCCCTCCAGGTACAGACCACCACCATGTGTATCTCTGTCAGTCTGAGTGGCTCTGTGGTTCTGGGATGCCTGTTTGCTCCTAAAGTCCACATCATCCTGTTCCAGCCGCAAAAGAACGTCTGCACACTCCGCACGCCGACCACACGCTTCAGCGTCACCACGGGACAGGGCTCCAGCCTGTCCCAAGGTAACAGCAAACACCTGACCAGAGACCAGAGGGAGAGACAAGACAGAGAACAAAGAGAGACCAGAGAGAGAGCAATATAGAGAGATGGTATGTGAGACCAGAGAGAGAGACTATAGAGAGACCAGGGAGACCAGAGAGAGACCAGAGAGAGACCAGAGAGAGACCAGAGAGAGAGACTATAGAGAGACCAGAGAGAGATCAGAGACTAGAAAGAGATCAGAGAGAGAGCAGAGAGAGAACAAAGTGGAACCAGAGATTGCTCTAAGACAAAAAATGTCAAATGATGTAAAAATCTATATAGATATGCAGCTCTGCTCTGCACTGCTCCACACTCTGCTCTGCTCTGCTCCACACTCTGCTCTGCACTGCTCCACACTCTGCTCTGCTCTGCTCCACACTCTGCTCTGCTCTATCTGTTTGTGCTTCCATTACGTTTTTAAACGTACCCAGAACAAACCAGTATTCGGGGAAATGTCTTGGTAACCATGGCTTTCAGCAGCATTCTGGCCAATCGCTGTCAGTTAGAACACTTTAGTATCAACTCGGCCTGGATAGAAACAGGGCCAAGAGGGACTGAAGAGGGACCTGGTACTGGTTAAATAAGGCCAGTGGAATCCCAATCAGAGTAGAGTAGAGCAGAGCAGAGCAGAGCAGAGCAGAGCAGAGTAGAGTAGAGTAGAGTAGAGTAGGGTAGAGTAGAGTAGAGTAGAGTAGAGTAGAGTAGAGTAGAGCAGAGCAGAGCAGAGCAGAGCAGAGCAGAGCAGAGCAGAGTAGAGTAGAGTAGAGTAGAGTAGAGTAGAGTAGAGTAGAGTAGAGTAGAGTAGAGTAGAGTAGAGTAGAGCAGAGCAGAGCAGAGTAGAGTAGAGTAGAGTAGAGCTGGAAACAGCTGCTTCTACATCAAAGCTTTGAGCCTAACACAACAGTAAGAATCTGATCTCGTTGTTTCTTTTCTTTTCCAGCGTCTGCGTCGAACGTGGTTCCGACGGTCTGCAACGGGAGAGAAGTGGTCGACTCCACCACCTCCTCGCTCTGAAGCGTCCCCACGGATACAAGCTCCTCCCACCGCTCCGCAAAGTACGACAAGAAACACGTGGATACAAGATGGAAGAAAGTTGATTTGAGTTTATTTTGTCTTAAAACAAGATTTGCCATCGGAGCAAGCACAACAAAAACACAATTAGTGTATTTTAATCCCTTTGCTGCCGGTCAAGCCTCTGAAACTACACACACATTCTAATAATACACTGAGATGCATTTTGAAGTATATTTGTGTAACTTTAAGGCGAGGCAAGTTTATTTGTATCACACAGTTCATACATAAGACAAAGTTCTGAACAATAGAAGATTGAAACAATCACACAGATCATGATAAATAATCACAGAGAACTAAAAAGAGTGAAGCTACAATCCCATACAGTTGTGTGCAGCTAAACAAAACTGTTTTTTAAATCTGGGTTTGAACATTGCCAGAGTAGAAGCCTGTCTCACATTGTCAGGAAGACTGTTCTTGATTTTAGCTTCATACATCTGAAACACCACCTACCCATATGTAGTCCTGACTTTAAGAGTACCATGGTCTTTAAGAGACTGTAGCAGTAAAACTAGCAAGAGTTAGCTCAGAGACTGTAGAGAGAGCGGACAACCTGAACGTTTGCCTCAAAAAGATGATTAGAGCTAACTCAAACAGGCTCAATGGGCGAATGTCGGGACCCGAAATCTCAGAAAGCAACCACTTAGCAACCAAAGAGCAAACCGTCTGATCCCACTCAATTTTTGCCAGTCATATTTTTTATTGTATTTGCACGGTACAAATATACAGTCTCTGGTTTGGAATAGAGTTTGGAAGAGATCAGTGAATTTCGGAGTATTGACAATAAAGCAAGTTAGCGTGAGGCCGCGTTAGCAACGTTAGCTAGAGTTAGACCACCTAGATTTACTATAGTTAGCTGGGATTAGCAACAAAAGCACTTTGTCTACTGTACTCTACTCTCTCCTGATTGGGAGTGTTTCCACTGGCCCTGTTTAACAAGTACCAAGTTCTTCTTTAGTCCCTTTTGGCCCTGGTTCTATCCAGGCCGAGCTGGTACTAAACTGACAGTGATTGGCCAAAGGGCTGCTCAAAGCCATGATACTGGTTTGTTGTGGGTAGGTTGCAAGAATACAGCACCAGATACTACTGTATATGGAAACACAACCAGGTAGAGTAGAGTAGAGTAGAGTAGAGTAGAGTAGAGTAGAGTAAAGTAGGGCTGAATTAGCTGCTGAAAAATGGGCTTTTGCTCGTGTTTGCAAATCTTGTTTAAAGACAGACAAAAGCGACTTGGATAAAGCTACAAGCACAAATACAAACTCTTGATACTTTTGTGGGTGTGGTGTTGGGTTCACACACAAAGATCACACATAGAACACACAAAGAACACACAAAGAACACACAAAGAACACACAGTCAACACACAAACACATTCCTCACTATGGAGTTGTTAAGTGACGATGGGAAAACCACGTACGCCTAATATTTGTGCCAAAACTTGCTACAAAGCATTTTTAAATATTTGTACGTTTTTCTGAATGCTTTGCAGATTTGGTCCACTGCCATTTTTTAAAAAGCAATGGACGTGAAGGAGTAAAATGTACGTACTCTGCAAAATGTTTGAGGTTTTTACCATGTTCTACTATTGTCAACCACAACAATTAGAAATGTACTGAGCCTCCCTCAGTCCTGAACCTGTTTACACACTGTGAGGCCAAGTGGAAGTAGGAAGTCTCTGCTATCGCTGCTCTCTTTCTCTGGTCTCTCTCTCTCTCTCTGATCTCTCAGACACCAGCGCACCAGAGAGAGACTAGAGAGAGAGAGAGAGAGAGAGAGAGAGAGAGACCGGAGAAAAATTAGAGAGACACTGAGCAGAGAGGAGGAAGAGAGAATAGAGAGAGAGCAGAGAGAGAGAACAAGGACTGATCAGGGAGAGAGAGCAGAGAGAGGGATCAGGGAGAGAGAAACCAGTGAGATACCACAGAGAGAAATGCGTTAGAAACAAGAGATAAAATGCATTTGGGTTTGGAGCAGCGAAAAATGAGCTAACAGAGGGAGGACACTGTTAAATTAGATGATATAAAATTGTTATGGTCAAAACCACTGCTCCAAATATTGTTCTTATGAGACCATAATGATGTTTATCTGTTTTTAAATAGCGTAACAGTGCATTCTGAGTGTAATTGTTGTATTATACATTTACAGTTTTTTAGAATTTCCCTCAAAAGGAAAAATAAATAAATGAAAAGGTTTTTAGAGCAGGTTCTCTCATTACCACAACAGCTGCAGTATTTTCACACAGTGTGACAATGTAGACCAGAAAGAGAGAGAGAGAGAGACCAGAGAGAGACCAGAGAGAGACCAGAGAGAGACCAGAGAGAGACCAGAGAGAGACCAGTGATAGATCAGAGACGGATCAGAGGAGACCAGAGAGACACCATAGTACATATCTGCTGACAAAGAAAATGTGGAACTTTGTAACCATTTTTATTTCTTGTGTATTGTTCCAGGAATTATAGAAAAAACTAGCTCCACACTAAGACTTTCAACAGTTACCACCGTTACCAGGAAATATATATATATTTTTAGATTTTATCAACTACAACATAATGAAGAAATGTTGAAAACTCTTTGCTTTGTACGTCCAATTTAAAATCCTTTACAAACAGAAGATTCCACTTAACAGCTCCATAGCTCAGTGGCTGGGGCCCCTGCGGTCTTCTTCTCTATCGTATTGGCTTGGGGCCCCGGCAGTCTTCTTCTCTATAGTATTGGCTGTACATTGATAGCTGTACATTTGGAGGACCATGGTTTGGGTCCATGTCGTCCTCTCAGTGCTGTTTGTTTTTTGACGCCAATACACTTTAATATACTCCTCCTTTTTATCAATGGACTTCTACTACTGCCAACATGGAGTGAGTTAAAATAGTACATCTGTTCAGTGTATTATATCTGTAGAGGAGAGTTTTTATTGTAGATTTTTGGTGAACCGGTTTGTGCGTTCTTGTAATTTATGTAAATAAATTGTGTTTTTTATCAATACTATTCAAAAACGAGAGTTGTGTGTGTTTTTTTTTTATCTCACAGGGGTTTGAAGTTAATTAATTGGGTTTTCTAACACAACAGTGCAAATAAAGAGACTATAGAGAGAGAGCTTAGAGAGAGAGAGAGACCCGTCTAGAGAAAGAGACCAGAGAGAGACCAGGGGGGAGGGACCAGAGAGAGAGAGACCAGTCAGGAGAAAGAGACCAGGGAAAGAGACTAGAGAGAGAAACCAGAGAGAGACAAGAGAGAGATGAGAGACCACAGTGAGACCAGAGAGAGAGACTAGTGAGAGATAGATTAGAGACCAGAGAGAGAGAAGAGATAGATACCAGATGGAGAGTTCACAGAGAGACTAGAGAGAGAGCGGGGAGGGGAGGAGAGACACCAGATAAAGAGATAGAGAGACCAGAGAGAAACTAGAGAGGGAGAGACCAGAAAGAGACCAGAGCTAGACTTATAATACAATTGTATTGGTCGTGATATTGAAACCCACAAAAGTTGCGATTATATCTTTAGAGTCTGTAAAACAATACATTATCTCGTCTCTGTGGCATTGAGTTCTAGTAGTGGTCCTGGGTCCTGGGTCCCGAGTCCTGGGTCCCTAGTCTTGAGTCCTGCGTCCCGAGTCCTGAGTCCTATTTCTAATGCTAGTCCTAGGTCCTGTGTCCTAGTCCTGGGTTCTTAGTCCTTGTTTTAATCCCCGTTTTGGTCCTTGGACCAAATCCTAGTCCTGGGTCCTTAGTCCTAGTTCTAATCGTAGTCCTGATTCATGTTAATATCTAGTCTATGGTCATGTGTCCTGGGCCCTGGGTCTTGAGTCCTAGTTCTAACCCTAATCCTGGGTCATCTGCCCTGGGTCACTGGTCCTGACAGGATGACCTAGTGGAGTCATGCAGAGGACATTCAGCCAAACCATTGATACAAGCTCTGTCTGAGGTTTTAACGGAAGACTTCCGTTAAAATTCATCGTGTTGATGGTTTGGTCCTTCCACATTCTGCAACATGAGGTGCGTTGCTCTGAGGCAGACTTTAAATGGAACAGAAATGAGTAATTGATGTGGCAGCTGGACACCACTCTGCCATAAAGAACACACAAGATAAACAGATTTAGAACACGTTTTACACATCCCTCCATCTACAGAGAGAGACTTGACAGACCATAGAGAGACCAGAGAGAGACCTGGAGTGAGAGCGAGAAAGACCAGAGATAGACCATAGAAAGAGAGAGAGCAGAGAGAGAGAGCAAAGAGAGTGACAGACCCAGAGAGAAAGAGAGAGACCAGAGAGATAGCAGAAAAAGATCAGAGAGAGACCATGAGACCAGAGAGAGAGACTCTACTCTACTCTACTCCCTGATTGGGAGTGTGTCCTCTGGCCCAGCTGTTTAACCAGTACCAGGTCCTTCTTCAAACCGTCTTGGTTCTGATTCTGTCCAGACTGAGGTACCGAGCCGGTGGAAAGGGGTTCTGATGAAGGGGTCTCTTACCAATGGACTAATGAAAATTTCATATCATTGTGGCAGAGGTTGCTCTGCCACAACCTCTGAGCCCCCATCTGTTCAGTTACTAGCCTCAGAAGCTAGTCAGATTGAAACTGTGTGTGCATGTGTGTGTGTGCCTGTGTGTGCTCAGTTACTAGCCTCAGAACCTAGTCAGATTGAAACTGTGTGTGTTCCCCGCTTGAAGTCTAAAGCACTATATGCGAGGAAATCTGACCTAGGTGTCAGACACAGTAACTTAATAAAAGTTCAGACAGACAGAAATAGTTCTAACAGTAGGGTTGTTAAATGTGGTTTAATGAACGTCAGATCAATCTCGTCTAAATCGCTTCTCATAAACGAACTTATTATAGACAAGGGCTTGGATCTGTTAGCGCTCTCGGAGACTTGGCTCCAACAGGACGAGTACGTTAGATTGAATGAGTGCACTCCTCCGACGCATGTTAACTACCAGAAAGCCAGAGCTACAGGTCGCGGCGGTGGTGTTGCGATTATATCACACACCAACTTGGTTCTTAGTCCCAAAACCAACAACGCTTTTCACTCGTTTGAAAACTTAACACTTTCAATCACCTGTCCTGGGTGGAGAAAACAAAAAGCAGTACTATTTATAGTTTTATACCGACCTCCTGGTCCTTACAGCGAGTTCCTAACAGAATTCTCTGACTTCATTTCAAACCTAGTTTTGGAATGGGAAAACATAGTTATAGCTGGAGACTTCAATATACATGTGGACGACAGCACTGACAGCTTAAACAAAGCTTTCAGCGCCGTACTAGATGGTGTTGGTTTTACTCAGAATGTCGAGGAACCTACTCACATTCATAACCACACCTTGGACCTTGTCCTGACCTACGGCTGTGATGTCTCCAATGTTGACATCCAGCTTCAAAGCTCGTTGCTGTCTGACCATTTCTTGATCACGTTTGATCTCGCTTTGGAGGACTTTCCTGTCCCGCAAGATAAAACCATAATGAAAAGAACCTTAAATGATAAATCTATCACAAGGTTCAAAGAACTAATACAGCCTATGTTGAATACTGCTGCAGGTGAACCTGTTCACAGCAGCTGCAGTCCCTCAGTCATCGACCAAACGGTGGGCAACACTATGGAGTCTTTAAAATCTGCATTAAATGCAGCAGCTCCTTTAAAACAGAAAACCATTAGGATTAGATCATCGTCGCCCTGGTACAGTGTTCAACTCCACACTTTAAAACAGGACGTCAGAAAATTGGAGAGGCTATATCGCCACTCCCACTCGGAGCCTGTCCACAGGGAGTGGAAAGCAGGTCTCCGAAACTACAAGAAGGCCCTTCGCGGGGCTCGAACTCAATACTATTCAACTTTAATAGAAGCGAATAAAAACAACAGTAGATTTTTGTTTGGTACCGTCGCTAAACTCACAAACTGCCATAGCGCAATCGAGCCTAAAATTCCAAGCTCACTGAGCAGTGTCGACTTTCTCCACTTCTTTAATAATAAAATTACATCCATCCGTGACAAGCTGGAGGAGGTTGCTCCTGCTGTTAGTGGTGGACAGGTTGAAGCGGCATACGTGACTTCCCACTTAGACTCTTCAGTGGGCCTTAATAAATTCATGGCTGTGAGCCAAGCAGAGGTGATCTCTGTGGTCACATCCTCAAAAGCCTCAACTTGCATGTTAGACGCAGTCCCGACATGGCTCTTCAAAGACATACTTCCTTTGATAATTGAGCCTATCGTAAATATAATAAACGCATCCATACAATGTGGCTATGTCCCACAAGCTTTTAAAACCGCGGTAATCAAACCCCTTCTGAAGAAAACAAACCTGGACCCAGAAATACTTACAAACTACAGACCGATCTCGAACCTCACTTTTATATCTAAAATCCTGGAAAAACTTATAGCTGAGCAGCTCCGCTGCCACCTGCAGGAAAATGATATGTTTGAAGTCTTTCAATCAGGATTCAGAGCTCATCATAGCACTGAAACGGCACTAGTCAAAGTCACAAATGACTTACTACTAGCTGCCGATAATGGACAAGTGTCAGTGCTGGTCCTACTGGACCTTAGTGCTGCATTTGACACAATAGACCACAGCATTCTACTGCAGAGGCTAGAATGTGATATAGGTCTTAGAGGAACAGCCCTTGGCTGGTTTAAATCCTATTTATCAGATCGATATCACTTCGTCAATGTGAATCAGGACTCGTCGCCTTATTCTGGAGTGGAATTCGGTGTGCCGCAGGGTTCGGTACTCGGACCGATTCTTTTTACTCTCTACATGCTGCCACTGGGAAACATTATTAAAAAGCATGGAATTAATTTCCACTGCTATGCAGATGACACACAGCTTTATCTGTCGATGAAGCCTAATCAGACAGATCAGCTAGAAAAGCTCAGTGCCTGCATAAAGGACCTTAAAATGTGGATGACTCTTAACTTCCTACTTCTCAACCCGGAGAAGACAGAAGTGATCCTACTCGGTCCGAAGCGCCTGCGTGACTCCCTCACTAACCAGATGGTTACTCTCGATAATGTCAGTATAATACCCAGTAACACTGTGAGGAATCTTGGAGTCATTTTTGACCAAGAACTCTCCTTCAAGGCTTATATAAGCCAAGCAACTAAAACGGCGTACTTCCACTTACGGAACATCGCTAAAATTAGGAATTTCCTTCCTAAAAGTGACGCGGAAAAACTCATTCACGCGTTTGTCACCTCAAGGCTCAACTACTGTAACGCTTTACTGGCAGCGTGCCCTAAAGCCTCTTTGAAGAGCTTCCAGCTCGTTCAGAATACAGCAGCTAGGATCTTAACAGGTACCAAAAGGAGGGAGCACATAACTCCGGTGTTAAAATCACTCCACTGGCTCCCTGTGGAGTACAGAATAAAGTTTAAAATCCTACTCTTAACATATAAAGCCATAAATGGCTTGGCTCCTTCTTATCTCCAAGACACGTTAGTGTCGTATCAACCAAGTCGAGCGTTGCGCTCACAAAACGCCAGACGTCTGGTGGTCCCTAAGGTCTCAAAGGTCACTGTTGGTGGCAGAGCATTTAGCTACCAAGCTCCTTTACTGTGGAATCAGCTTCCCATTTATGTTAAGGAAGCAGATACGGTCTCCACATTCAAGGCCAGGCTTAAAGCACTTTACTTTAATTTAGCATATAATTAGGTAATATATAATATGTAGTGTATATATTATATATATATGCTGTATTATGTTATATATTATGTTATATATTATTCAATAATGTATTGTGTTATGTTGTATATTATGTTATATATTATGCTGTATGTTATTCTTTATTCAAGGCTAGGTTTAAAACAGTCCTCTTTAGTTTAGCATATGGCTAGGAAGGTAAGACTCGGAGAAGGTTAAACTCCTCAGAGTGTTAGTCAAGCTGCATAGGGAGTCAGTTTGCTGGGAGAAGTATGGTAACTTGAGCACTATCCTCTCCTCCTTCCTACTTTATCTGTTTAGCATTTTTAGGATTCTGACTGTAGTTTGTTCATTGCTATTCACCCGTTGTCCCATTGTCTGTTCCATGGTACGATGACGGGATCTCTGAGCCTGGCCTCTTCCATCTACACCTGCGGACTGCCCCGCCCGACCCGCCTGGGAGTGCTTCGGTCCTGCACCGGACCTGTCCACGTTCAGCGTCCACTGGTCCACGTTCTGTAGCTAGCTTAGGTCCTAGATCATTAGTCTGTCCGTCCGGAGGAGCGGATCCCTTTCTCATATGGGTCTCCCTCCCTGTGGGTTTCCCTAGTTCTCCTCCAAGGTTTCTCACTTTTTCCCACTGGGTTTTTTAAGAGTTTTTCCTTGTCGATGCAGGAGGGTCTTGTTGGACAGTTAGTGTCCAACAGAAAGGATTGGTGATGATCAGGACACTTTAGCATTCTACAACATGTATGGACATTTTCTTCTGTGTGTGCTTTATACTGTATTCTTCATGTGTTTTAACTGTTGATTCTCTGACCTGTGTTGGTGATTTCAATGGTTTTGTTAAGTCCTCTGAGATGACTTCTGTTGTGACCTAGGGCTATACAAGAATAAATTGTATTGTATTGTATTGTATTGTAATTGGGGGAAATCAGAAGTGCACTTTTCATTTGTCAGCTGTCAGAACCCTAAAGTTTTAACAGCTCAACAGATCGTGGAAAGTTGAAGTAACACTGCCCTCTAGTGGTTTTACATAACTGTTACAAGTGGCTGGTTCTGAAGTGAATAATACTTTATAGAAGAGGAACGGATAAAAACACTTTGGAATTGGTCAGTTGTTTGCCTTGATGCCACAAAGCACAATTTCTGTGAGAGTAAAAACATATTTCCAACAAATATTCTGAATAATGGACATTTGAAATCCTCCCAGTTGATTTTATTATATATTTTACCCTTTACAAGCACAACTCAATGAGAGGATCGGAAAGTGACAGTTTGTTGATGTAGTTATAAAATCCTGTATTTTCTCAAAAGACGTTCTGATCACATTTAGCAACAATATCCACAGATACATATAAGTTACACCTTCAACAACATCTCAATGGAAACAAGCAGATATACTGTATATAATAATAAATACATAGGTTTTATTCAGAGTTTTTTTTTTTTTTTGACACTCAAAGATGGTGTAGGTGAAGTGTCTTGCCTATCAGGACACAGACGCCCCACTGTGGCCCCTGGTGTTCCCACAGGTCTCTCATCACAGCGTCAGAGGTCTGATGATGTGATGATGCAGGAGTCTGACTCACTGGATGGATTGATTGGCCTTCAGAACTAATATTACAACAATTAAACATTTATCTTTTAAGACAACTTTGAATTCCACTTTTCTCACCTGGAAAAAGAACCTCATGAGACCGAGTGATGCTCCATGTTATGTACATTGTGGTGTCCCATAGCCACAGAGACTACTAATCTAATCTGTACACATCTGACTTACATTCAGTAATGTGGTTGAAGTGTCTGGGAGCACAAACCAGGCTCAGTCACCCTTAGCAGCAGAGGTCTACCTTCACATGCAGCGGGTGGTCCACATGTACACTATGACATATTTTGGTTGATTTGGAAGCAACCATCCAATTATCTGACAAAAACAAAGTTAATCTCGAGTTTATATACTTTTCATTGCAATGAAAAACAACCAACATGAAAAGAAAGGCCTCCTGCTGGAACTCTAACAGGGACTGGCCTCCTGCTGGGACTCTGAGGAGCACAGGGACTGGCCTCCTGCTGGGACTCTGAGGAGCACAGGGACTGGCCTCCTGCTGGAACTCTGAAGAGCACAGGGACTGGCCTCCTGCTGGGACTCTGAAGAGCACAGGGACTGGCCTCCTGCTGGGACTCTGAAGAGCACAGGGACTGGCCTTCTGCTGGTACCCAGAGTCAGGACTAAACATGGGCAGGCAGCTGCAGTTTCTCTGGTCACCAGCAGGGGCAGCAGACGCGGGTGTCTCTGGTCTTGACTTTCGCTTTAAGCTGCGGGAGAAAGAAGGAAGAGGAGGAGTAGCTCTTCCTCTTACAGTAAACTCCAAAACAGTGAGTGTCATTTACGGAAATCCAGACTTTTCTCTCCCCGGTCACTTTGCAGACTTCCTGGTCCGAAGAGGAGGGTGAGTGCTCTCTTCTCATGTGCACGAATGCTAAGTCAGACCGACATCATTTGCTTTTTGCAAAATCACATGCACAAAATACTGTGTAATGGCTTTTCGATAGGTTTGCGAAGACGCTACGAGCTAGTAACTACAGGATTACAAATACATATTAATAGTTAGACTGCTAAAAATAGAGTAGAGTAGTTTGGTTTCTTGGTGTTAGGATATATTATTTAAATCAATATTTGCCAATACGGGGACAACAGTTTTACAGTAGTATTTATCTTTCCCATTGAGAAAATGCTTGTCTCTTGCATGTTTACTTGTTTCATGTGCAAAAAAGTAGTGTGTGTGTGTGTGTGTGTGCAGGCCCGTCCCAAGGGGGGTGCGAGGCCCTGTGCGAACTCGAAACGCGAGGCCCTGCCCTGACACTTTTTTCCCAGATCTGAGGAAAGTTTTTCCTGTTATAATCTTTGACATGAATTCAGCACCACCTCGCGCGGTGCTTGACGAGATCAGCACGCGTGTAACCGAGTGTCTTCGCTCCTATGCAGCGTTTGGCGCGCGCACGTACACACGCACACACACTCTACGTGCAATATTGGTCGCGGTCTTTTTAGCTGACATGTCTCTTTCGTCCTGTGGCAAAATGGCAGAGCAACTCAAAAGATTGAACCAAAAGGAGTCTTTTTCTTCTAATAGTTAGATTTGGGCAAAATGCGCCAAAATGGCTATGAGGCGGAGTCAATATTATTATTTTCTCATCAAATAACGTTTTTGCCATGCCTCCACACACTCTGACAACATACACTCCTCCTCCTCCACACTGACAACAACAAAATACTCTTCACCTCCTCCTCCACACACTCTGACCACAACAAAAACACTCCAGCTAGCTAAAGCTAGACATACAGTGTGTTTGCTAATGCTTTTAAAAATATGTTTTTGATGTGGATATTCGGACTAAACATTGGCAATAGCAGCGCTCACACACCTGTCACACCGCTGATCCTCCTCCTCCTCCTCTGCTCACACAAAGGGGTCTGCTCCTCTGCTCACACCTGTATCACTGCTCCTCCTCCTCCTCCTCCTCCTCCTCCTCCTCCTCTGCTCACACAAAGGGGTCTGCTCCTCTGCTCACACTTGTCTCACTGCTCCTCCTCCGCGAGTATCCATCTCTCCTACACTGCGATCATTCCCGTTACTTTCTTTGTATCTCACTCAGACACTGCTAAAGTTATCTGACAGTTTTTTCGGAGGACCCGTTGCATACATAGCTGCCCGCGCGCCTGCCTGTTTACAAATCGCTTTTGGTGAAAATTTGACTTTACTTGTAAAAATGTTCTTTTGATCAAACGAAATCAAAGAGGTCCAGAGAAAGGGGTTTAGGGTTCCAAATTTGGAGTGCAGTCTGCCCTTTGGGGACCCTTGAACTAGTGTATTTATAAAATAAAATAAAAGGAAGGAAGATTGCGAGGCCCCTGTGTGGTGCGAGGCCCTGTGCGACGGCACAGGTCGCACAGCCCTTAGGACGGGCCTGTGTGTGTGTGTGTGTGCGTGTGCGCACTTGTTTTCAACTCCTGGTGGGTTCCATAACCTGAGATTCCACTCACGTCATGGGGACTGGTTTTACGTGGTGGGGCCCGAACACCGGACCCCACTGGTCCAAGCTTAATAATCAATGGGTAATGCTTTTCTAACGGTCCTTATGCAGTCTCTGTAAAAATATGGAAAGGACCCCTGGAGGTTTACTTTCCTGAAAAAAGTGTGTTATGTGTCGGAACCCTGGTGGTGGGTTGCGGGATATCAAGGAGGGGCACACTGGGGCAATTTCAGTCCAGCAGGCTGGAGCCAATCATGGAGCAGCACAACAGAGGAAATCAGGTGTCAGGCTAGAAAAAGGTGCAAGTGTGTGGTTCATTAGGCTGCAAGAAATCATGGAGGAGCACACTGAAGCGCACGCTTACAAACCACTGGTAAGTGCTGACTACAAGTCATGACTTCAAATTGTTATATAGAATGATTACAAATTATTTGTTGTTTGTGCAGCTTAGTCAAGAGTCCCTAATTGATGAAGTCGACTCAGATTCTGACGATTTAACTGTCAAGAAGAAACCTGTAAAAAAGTATGGAAAAAGAAAAATCAAAAACACTTTTCTTCAAGACTCGGAAAGTGACGAACCAAAGGCAAATAAGATTGTTATCATGCAGCTGCAAAAGAAGAAAAATGGGGGGCGAGTATACAGCAAGAGACACTTCTGCCTCTACTGTTCAATGTCCTGCCACAAAATGTCCCGTCATTTGACTAGAAAACATGGAAAGAAAGTGACGTAGCCAGAGCATTGGCTCTACCTGTGAAATCTAAAGCACGTAAACTTCAGTTTGATTTGATCAGGAATAGTGGAAACCGTGAGCACAATTTTGAGGTTTTAAAGGCCGGCATTGGAACTTTAGTCCCAGCTAAACAGCCAAATTGCCCAGTTAAATCCAGTGAGTTTTTGCACTGTATAGACTGTGGGGCATTGCTTAAGCGAAAGTCGCTGTGGAGGCATGTGGCCAGGTGCCGGCTTTCACAGAAAGATGCCCAGGCTAAACCAGGTAGAAGTAGGGTCCAGTCCCTCTGCTCCCTAGCCCAGCCTGTACCGGAGGGCATCAGCAAAAAGCTGTGGTCTTTAATTTCGGCAATGCATCAGGATGAGGTCACGGGTGTTGTCAAAGCAGAAAAGGGGATTCTGAGACTCGGAGAGCACCTGTACTTAAAACACGGGCATGATAAGACAAAGCATGATTACATTAGGCAGAAAATGAGAGAAGTCGGTAGGTTAATTAACGAAGCAAAAACCGCAGGGAAACTGAAAACAATTAAGGATTTCTTTATTCCTTCCAACTTTAACCATGTGATTGATGCAGTCAGGTCTGTGGCTGGATATGATGAGGAAACAAATCAATACAAGACTCCATCCTTGGCCCTCAAACTCGGCCATAGCCTCAGAAAGCTAGCAGATATTCTTGAATGTGACTCAAAAATGGAGCATTGTGTTGATGAACTATTTATTAAAAACCTCCAACGAAGCCGGCTGCTTTTTGAGAAGAGGTGGGACGTCTGTGTTTCTTCTGCTGCCCTACAGACCCTCCGGCAAGCCAAGTGGAACACTCCGGACCTGCTCCCTCTGACTGAGGACGTTAGAGCCATGCATGCACATATTGAGGTATGTCGACCTGAATATGTGCAAACCCTAATAAGTGAGCCAACGTCTAAGCATTGGTCTAAACTGGCAGTTTTGACTCTTTGTGAGGTCATCATTTTCAATCGAAGAAGGGAAGGTGAGGTTTCAAAGATGCCACTGACAGCCTTTACCTTAAGAAGTAAGACTGGGATCCATTCTGACATTGCTCTGGGACTGTCCCAACTTGAGAAAAAGCTGTGTCAGCATTTTCAACGCATTGAAATTAAAGGGAAAAGAAGTCGGAAAGTGCCGGTTCTTTTGACTCCTGAAATGATTGCTTCGATGGAGGTGCTGGTGGAGAACAGAAGGGCCTGTTCCATCTCTGACCATAACCCATACTTCTTTCCCGCCCGGGCGCAGACACCCACATCAGGGGATCAGACTCCCTACGCCAGGTAGCCAAAGAATGTGGTGCGGTGCATCCAGAGATGCTATCCTCAACCAAACTTAGAAAGCACATAGCTACTATGTCTACAGTTCTCAATATGAAAGAGAATGAGATGGACATACTTGCCAACTTCCTCGGCCATGACATTCGCATCCACAGGCAATATTACAGACTACCAGAGGGGACACTGGAGCTGGCCAAAATCAGCAAAGTGTTGATGGCCATGGAGCAGGGAAGAGTGACGGAATTCGAAGGAAAGAGCCTCGACCAGATACAAATTGAGCCTGAAGGTAATTCTTGATATTATTAAAATATGTATGATTTTTTTCCCCTATAGGCCACTTGTATTTTTATTTTCTGTGCGACAGGGAGAGCAGTAGAGATCCTCTCACAAACGGACGGGCTAAAAGAAACTTCAAGCGGAGAACCTTCAACCATTCATCCAGATGCGCCCCATGGTAGTGGCAGTGCCCCTTCTGGTAAGTGTACCAGGTGGGGGATTACAGCCAGGCTGCTTGGTCCTCACCCTGGGAGTGTATATTGCTAATATATTTTTATTTCTCTCCCTAGAACGTGTAAGAAAGCCATGGTCTGCATCTGAGGTGAAGGCTGTGGAGAAGACCATGACACCTTTCATACAGACTGGAAAGGTCCCTGGGAAGTCTCACTGCCTGGCCTGCATTAATGCCTCACCAGATGACCTTAGACATCGGACATGGAGTGGCATTAAATTCTATGTCAAAAATAGAATCACTGCAATTCGAAAACAAAATCTAAAATAAAATTCCTTTAAAATAGTTGTTTGGTTTCTATTGACTGTTTTGTATTACTTAAAGTCTTGGTAAAAAAAGATTATGTCTATGGGTCCCATTCTGAACGGCCCTGTCAAAGGGACCCACCAGGTAACAAAAACGTGTGTGTGTGTGTGTGTGTGTGTGTGTGTGTGTGTGCCATTTTGTCCAGTCAAAATGACCCCCCCCTGTCGCTCCTCTCTGCAGCATCACTCTGTCATGCCTCCTAAGAGAAAAGCCGCTGCTACTAAAACCAGGGGGAAGAAGATCAAACAGGAGCCAGAGACCTCCCAGACCCCCCAGAAACCAAAAGATACCTTCACCTCGGCCAAAGAAGCTCTGAAGGCCGCCATTCCGGAGAAGAAAGGCAAGAGGAAGAAGGACGATAATTGTTACGCAGATGGAGAGGTGAGGACGAGGATAAAATTCCTGTGGTTAAAGATTATATTCTTAAATGACATTACGAGAGAACAGTGCTATAGTGTTAGTTTAGATTTACAGCCGGAGTCCTTGATCTATTCTATTCAATCCAATGTATTCTTGTATAGCCATAAATCACAACAGCAGTTATCTCGTTGGACTTAACAAAACCGTTGAATTTGCCAAAACAGATCAAAGAATCAACAGTTCAACACAAGAAATTCAACAATTAAAACACATAGAGCCATTTGTCCATAAGGGGCAGACTACCAAATGTTGAATGTCTAGTCCTGGCTCTACAGCCTCAGAGCTGGAGGGAGGGTGTATATACAGTGCCTTGCGAAAGTATTCGGCCCCATTGAACCTTTCAACATTTCGCCACATTTAAGGCTTCAAACAAACTTGTGCTAATACTTTGTAGCGCCACCTTTTGCTGCAATTACAGCTGCAAGTCGCTTGGGGTATGTCTCTATCAGTTTTGCACACCGAGAGACTGGAAATCTTTCCCATTCTTCCTTGCAAAACAGCTCGAGCTCAGTGAGGTTGGATGGAGAGCGTTTGTGAGCAGCAGTCTTCAGCTCTTTCCACAGATTCTTGATTGGATTCAGGTCTGGACTTTGACTTGGCCATTCTAACACCTGGATACGTCTATTTGAGAACCATTCCATTGTAGATTTGGCTTTCTGTTTTGGATCATTGTCCTGTTGGAAGATAAATCTCCGTCCCAGTCTCAGGTATTTTGCAGACTCCAACAGGTTTTCTTCCAGAATGGTCCTGTATTTGGCTCCATCCATCTTCCCATCAATTTTAGCCATCTTCCCTGTCCCTGCTGAAGAAAAGCAGGCCCAAAGCATGATGCTGCCACCACCATGTTTGACAGTGGGGATGGTGTGGTCAGGGGGATGAGCTGTGTTGCTTTTACGCCAAACATATCGTTTTGCATTGTGGCCAAAAAGTGTGATTTTGGTTTCATCTGACCAGAGCACCTTCTTCCACATGTTTGGTGTGTCTCCCAGGTGGCTTGTGGCAAACTTTAAACGAGACTTTTTATGGATATCTTTGAGAAATGGCTTTCTTCTTGCCACTCTTCCATAAAGGCCAGATTTGTGCAGTGCACGACTGATTGTTGTCCTATGGACAGACTCTCCCACCTCAGCTCTAGTTATCTGCAGTTCATCCAGAGTGATCATGGGCCTCTTGGCTGCATCTCTGATCAGTCTTCTCCTTGTATGAGATGAAAGTTTGGAGGGACGGCCGGGTCTTGGTAGATTTGCAGTGGTCTGATACTCCTTCCATTTCAATATAATTGCTTGCACAGTGCTCCTTGAGATGTTTAAAGCTTGGGAAATCTTTTTGTATCCAAATCCGGCTTTAAACTTCTCCACAGCAGTGTCTCAGACCTGCCTGGTGTGTTCCTTTGTCTTCATGGTTCTCTCTGCGCTTTAAACAGAACCCTGAGACTATCAAAGAGCAGGTGCATTTATACGGAGACTTGATTACACACAGGTGCATTCTATTTATCATCATCAGTCATTTAGGACAACATTGGATCATTCAAAGATCCTCACTGAACTTCTGGAGTGAGTTTGCTGCACTGAAAGTAAAGGGGCCGAATAATATTGCACGCCCCACTTTTCAGTTTTTTATTTGTTAAAAAGGTTTAAATTATCCAATAAATTTTGTTCCACTTCACGATTGTGTCCCATTTGTTGTTGATTCATGACAAAAAATTAAAATGTTATATCTTTATGTTTGAAGACTGAAATGTGGCAAAATCTTGAGGGGGCCGAATACTTTAGCAAGGCACTGTATAATGCCCCGCTTCTGCCACCAGGTGGAACTGTTTCGCTGCTACAATCCCTCTATATCTATTATATATTTTTATTTATGTATGTTCTATACCTCTTAACACCCGCCTCATTTTGGCTTGTGCACAAAAGTTGGGCATACCCAAATGTCTTTGCTTATTTAAAAACACATCTTACATCTCACATGTGTGATGCATCATTTTAAAGCTAGAGCCTTCTAATTTATGTAAAAAAAATACTAAAATAATGTTTGTAATTCCTATTTCCCTCTGCATCCTTTGAAGTTTAGGAAAAAACCCCAATTTTTTTAGCCTCGCCTAACATTTTCAATTTCTAAAGGCCCTAAAAAAAGGCATACTTCATTGTAAGTTCACAATATTCAAACCCTGTGGTCATTGTGTTGTTGACAACAACTGTCTAAAGTTTCAGACTTCTAAGTCTTATAGTTTTTATGCAGTTTCTCCTTTTCATCAAGTAGTGCACATTTGGCACAATTTGGCACAATTGTGCCAAATATCTTTACTGACATTTAATTATCATAAAAAAAATATTTTTTTATTATTGGTACTTATAAGTTACTAATCTATGTGGTTTTTTTTTTTTAAATGTCAAAGTTATTTTTTTATGAGTGTAAATTCATTGCAGCTTCGAGAGCGTCTTTTGGCTGCCATTAGGCACAATTCTACAGGCACAACATAAGACAGGACACCATTGTCCCACCCCTTGTTCGAAAGCTTTCCTCATTGGCTACAAGGACATGTCAATCGAAAATCCCGGCAGTAAATGCAAACAAGTTGGGACCACAACAAAGATCAGTGATCCATGCGCAAACAGCAGCGTTAGCTGTACTTACGGGAGCTCTTGCAGACCCAAAAATTGGTCTAGCTTTTCGGGAGTAGTCTCATTTGAAAGAAAGGAAAGGAGCTAAGGAACACGTAGATACCAGATGTTCGGGTGAAAAACAAAGCTAAAAGTCCGTTAAAAGTGAAAGAGTAACATCTGTGCTCTTTTTTTTCGTTTTTTTCGCTAAAGATAAATGCACATTTTTGGATTATTTCTGCAGAATGGATTTTACTTTGGGAAATACAAGTGGATATAATTTTCCTTTGGACTGTTCCAGAGAGAATGATGTATTGCAAGCTGGGAGGAGAGCTGATTTATTTGTACAGCACAAGCCCAAAGGTAAAAAACTATTTCGGAATTGATTTATTTTGTGCCCACATTATGTGTTATATCTTTTGAATGCAAAGTCTGATGTAGTTTACACTTGTATATAAATGTAGATAAGAAAATAAGCTTTAAAATGATAGACAGCTTTTGGGGTTTGGTGTTCAAAATACATCTGCTATTGCCAGCAGAACATTTAAAAACATAAAAACGGCACGCCGGCGCGCCGGTGTTAGTTAAGAGGTTAACTATTTCACATTCTAAACCATTATATTGATTAAGTCTATGTTGCAATATGGGCGGCACTGTGGCTGAGTGGATAGTACTCTCGCTTCTCAGCATGAAGGTCCTGGGTTTGAATCCTGGTCGGAACAGGGCCTTTCTGAGTGAAGTTTGCATGTTCTCCCTGTGTCTGCGTAGGTTTCCTCTGTGTGCTCTGTTTTCCCCTACCACTAAAAACATGTACTCCTGTACTGGCGACCTCACTCCCTTCTCTCTGTGGAGTGAGAGACAAATGCCCACAATTGTAAACCGCTTTGTGACTCTGGTCTATGAAAGGCGGTATATAAATAAAGATTATTTACTTAATTACTTACTTACTAATAATGTAATGAATACAAATACTTGTTAGGCCTCAGTCCCACATCTACAGCCTCAATGCTGGATTGACTGAGGCTGTCGACTAAAATAATGGTATTTTCTCAGGTTTACGAGGACTACGACTGTATGCTGAACCAGACCAACATCGGCAACAACAACAACAAGTTTTATGTGATTCAGTTGATCAAAGAGGGACCGCGCTCCTTCCACACCTGGACCAGATGGGGACGAGTGGTGAGCGGATAAACAGAATAAAACTAATCTCACAAGAGTAGAGAAGAAAGAGACTGGAGAGAGACTTGAGAGAAAAGAGATATACCAGCGGGAGACCAGAGAGGGAGATGCCAGTAAGAGAAAGACGTTATAAAAGTTGTTTGTAATTTTAATAAACTTGGGTTTATGTTTCATTCAGGGAGAAACTGGACAGGACAACCTGGCCTCGTTTACTTCACTGGAACCAGCCGTCAAAGAGTTCGAGAAGAAGTTTAAAGACAAAACCAAAAATCAGTGGCGCGACCGTGACAATTTTGTGTCTCATTCCGGGAAGTACACTCTGATCGAGGTGGACGGAGACCAGGACGCAGAGGTTAAGGTACAAACGGTGAATTTGTTTTAGATTAATAAGGTAGAAGAGCTGAAACATCGGGATGTGAGGGCGGTTTGACTCTGACACACCTGGGGTTCTGTCCTGAAGAAGTTGGACGGCAAGTACCGCTGTCGAGATAGAGAGACAAGAGAGACCAACCAGAGAGACCGACCAGGGAGAGAGAGACCGACCAGAGAGACAGAAGCGCTTCATGTCGGTGGTGTATGACCCTCTACACATGCGCTGTCCTCTGTTGCAGGTGGACACAGTGGATTCCAAGTCTGTGAATAGAAATGTCCTGCCCTGTTCTTTGGATAAAGCCACACAGAAGCTGATTGAGCTGATCTTCAGTACGGACATGTTCAAGGAGGCCATGGAAGAGATGAACCTGGGTGAGTCTAACACTGAGTGGGAGACTGGGACCAGGGGGAGTGCACTGGGCGGGGCCAGAGGACACTGAGGAGAGATGAACTTAAAGCCGCAGTTGTTAACTTTCAAACCACAACTGGATCCAATGGAAGAGAGAGATCTGAGAGAGAGGGAGACAAGAGGGAGAGAGATCCAAGAAAGAGGGAGACCAGAGAGAGAGGGAGACCAGAGAGAGGGAGACCAGAGAGAGGGAGACCAGAGAGAGGGAGACCAGAGAGAGGGAGACCAGAGAGAGGGAGACCAGAGAGAGGGAGACCAGAGAGAGGGAGCCCAGAGAGAGGGAGCCCAGAGAGAGGGAGCCCAGAGAGAGGGAGACCAGAGAGAGGGAGACCAGAGAGAGGGAGACCAGAGAGAGGGAGACCAGAGAGAGGGAGACCAGAGAGAGGGAGACCAGAGAGAGGGAGACCAGAGAGAGGGAGACCAGAGAGAGGGAGACCAGAGAGAGGGACGGTGTGAGTCCACACACCAAGGTTGAAACTGGGAGGGACACAGACCTGTTCTGTTGCATTCTAATGCATTGGGCGGACCAGAGAACAATGAGGAGAGCTTAACCTAAAGACGGGGTCGCTAACTTTACAAACCACAACTAATGGAACAAAGTCGATATAACTGGTTCTTCACTCTCAAAACAGTTTTCTTCCGTCTCTTGTTTTCACATGCATTTATTCAATTCTATGTATGTGTGTACAGCCCTAAATCACACAAAGAAACGTGTGAGAGGACTTTAAAAAGTTGTGGATTCACCAACAACAGATTAAAGACCAGTTCGAACACAGGAAATGCAAAAATAACACATTGGTCCATAGGCAGCGGGATGACTACTCTCCAGAACTGTTAATAAATGTGCAGAAATGGCTACAGATCCAGGACTTAGGCTGAAGATCCAGAACTGAGGTTTTTACACGTTTATTTCTCTCCAGACATTAAGAAGATGCCTCTGGGAAAGCTCAGCAAGATGCAGATCGCAAAAGGCTTTGAGGTCCTTGAGGAGATCGAAGCCGCTTTAAACAATAAAAGCAAACGGCAGATTTTAGAAGAGCTCTCGTCCAAGTTCTTCACCACCGTCCCACACAACTTTGGTAGAAGCAGACCTCCAACCATCGACTCAAAGGAGATCATCGAGAAGAAAAAGGAGATGCTCATGGTAAGATTTACAGTTGCCAGATTTTAGATGAAGTGGATTGAGAACTCGCAAACTGAGTAGTCCTTGGTTTGGTTAATCTCCAGAACCGATGACAAACCACATGTTCCTGCTTAGTGTGTGTTTATGTGAACTACAAAGGGATGAAAGAAAGACTAAAAACAGAGAGAACAAAGGGAGAGTCCAATGAGATGGAGCCTTGAGAGCGTGGCCAGAGGGAGAGTGGCCAGAGGGAGAGTGGCCAGAGGGAGAGTGGCCAGAAGGAGAGTGGCCAGAGGGAGAGTGGCCAGAGGGAGAGTGGCCAGAGGGAGAGTGGCCAGAGGGCGAGTGGCCAGAGGGCGAGTGGCCAGAGGGAGAGTGGCCAGAGGGAGAGTGGCCAGAGGGAGAGTGGCCAGAGGGAGAGTGGCCAGAGGGAGAGTGGCCAGAGGGAGAGTGGCAAGAGGGAGAGTGGCAAGAGGGAGAGTGGCAAGAGGGAGAGTGGCCAGAGGGAGAGTGGCCAGAGGGAGAGTGGCCAGAGGGAGAGTGGCCAGAGGGAGAGTGGCCAGAGGGAGAGTGGCCAGAGGGAGAGTGGCCAGAGGGAGAGTGGCCAGAGGGAGAGTGGCCAGAGGGCGAGTGGCCAGAGGGCGAGAGAGGCCAGAGGGCGAGAGAGGCCAGAGGGCGAGAGAGGCCAGAGGGCGAGAGAGGCCAGAGGGCGAGAGAGGCCAGAGGGCGAGAGAGGCCAGAGGGCGAGAGAGGCCAGAGGGCGAGAGAGGCCAGAGGGCGAGAGAGGCCAGAGGGCGAGAGAGGCCAGAGGGCGAGAGAGGCCAGAGAGCGAGAGAGGCCAGAGAGCGAGAGAGGCCAGAGAGCGAGAGAGGCCAGAGAGCGAGAGAGGCCAGAGAGCGAGAGAGGCCAGAGAGCGAGAGAGGCCAGAGAGAGAGCGACGAACCAGTTGTGTGTTTGTGTGCGGGACAGGACACATGATTTGTTTTTCTTCCTTTTGTTCCTGTTTGTTCATGCTGCACAGACATGTTTGATTTATGTATTTATGACGACATGGACCAGATGGATCTAATATATAATACTCTCTCCTAATCCCACTGCTTTCTCAGCTTTTGTTTACGTGTGTGTGATCTGTACAGGTGCTCGCAGATATAGAGTTGGCTCAGACTCTGAAGTCGGAGACAGAAAAGGCTCAGGAGGAGATGGTCGAGACCGTCCCTCATCCGGCCGACCAGGACTACGCCTCCCTCAATTGCAACCTCACCCTCATGGACAAGAAGTCTCCTACATACAAGGTGCAGATACTATTGCTGAAATGTTTTGAGTAAAGACCACAGGTACACTGTAGCACCAGCTTGGCCTGGATAGAACAAAGGTTTTGCCCATCAATTCATTTTGGTAATTTATCAAAGTGAAAATGCATTTTTTGCAATCACGTGTCTGTGTTTGTAGACAGTTAATTTCAAATTTTGAACAAAAACCAACACAAATTTTCCTGCTCCTCCCCAGTCATCAGTCAATAACAAAAATCCATCTCAATACTTTGTCAGATTCCCTTTGTTTGGAATGACAAATGAAAGTCTTCACCAGGTTTTCTCACAATGTGGCTGGTGTTTTGGCCCATTCCTCCATGCAGGAATACTAGTTTTTTTGTCCCCTGTATATAGTACACTGAGCTAATTCATAAATTGCTGTATGGATTATGTTTTGCAGATCATTGAGAAATACTTGGCCAAAACAAAGTGCTCGTATAACAACCCGAAAATTGTCAACCTTTGGGAGTGCGACCGCGAGACGGAGGTACGTGTCCTTCAGTTTTTATCTGGCATTTGTACCTCACAGCAAGAGGGTCCTTCTGAGATACAGTATGGGACTCAAGGCTTCTATAATCATGATATAAAGGATTATCTTCTATACGAGGAACATTTGAACACAACATAAGTATGTATAGTTCAATTCCATTTTTTTCTTGTGGCACCAAAGACATTTTGCCAAGTAACAGTCAACCAACAAAATGTATGAGTAGTTAGTTAAATTGTACTCACTCTCGTCAACATGGAAAATACTTAATCTGTGTGTTACCAACACTTACTGTACGTACAGTTTATTTTAAGGTTACAGGCACTGTCATAAAAAAAGCATTTTCACTTTGTTCTCAAGCGGATTAGACAAAAAAAAATTAAGTCCTCACTTATATCTTTGTGTAAAGGGTTTTTATAATGGAAAAGAAAATAGTACCGTGGCTGTTGCTCCTTAACTTTCTGCTGGAGATTAATTAAGAACAGCCGGTCAGTGACTTCTTACAGTAGTAAGACACGATGAACGTTTCTGAGGGACATTTTTTAATATTACAACGTGGGATACCTGCAGTTTATAATCCGGTGCGGCTTGTCCAAGTACAAAATTGAAATTCTTTATAAAAATTAGAGCCTGCAGTTTATAATCAGATGCTAAAGGTTAAGCTGCTCCTCGTCATAAAATCCCATTGTGACCAGTTAAACTTCTAACGACTTCTCTCTGCTACGTACAACATGAAAACCTGCAGCTTTTATTCAGGTGTAGCCTATATGAGGAAAAAAAAGTACTTTTCAAATGTTGCTTGTGCGCCTTATGTACAGGTGTGCCTTACACTACAGAAAGAACAGTGAACCCATAAATGTAGAAAATGTATAACTTTCCACTAAGAAGAGCACTACACTCTTTTGTTGTTGTGTTTTCGAGTGTGTCTCACCAGAGTTGTTCCTCAGGGCGAGCGCTTCAGGGAGCACGATCACCTGGAGAACCGGCGCCTGCTCTGGCACGGCACCAACATTGCGGTGGTGGCGGCCATCTTGAAGAGTGGCCTCAGGATCATGCCTCACTCCGGGGGCAGGGTGGGACGTGGCATCTACTTTGCATCGGAAAACGCAAAGTCTGCAGGATATGGTCAGTAGATTACAATAGATGAGAAGACATGAGGCTATAAAGCGAATTTAGAGAGGCCCCAGGAAGTTTTTAACTGACTCAGAGCTGAGGTGGCAAATGGCTGCAGGTTTTCATTCCAACCGAGCAGGAGCACAGCAGACTCCACCCATTTCCTCAAGTCCCCGGTTAAGAGATTGACCAGAGAGAGAGAGACACCACAGAGAGAGAGAGACCGGAGAGAGAGAGAGAGAGACCGGAGAGAGAGAGAGAGAGAGACCAGAGAGAGAGAGACCAGAGAGAGACCGAGACCGCAGAGAGAGAGACCACCCGACCAATGGTCGCTGTCTCTAACACTGTTTCCTGCTCAGTTCATATTTCTGTTCATGACGTGTCTATTGCTGCTGTCGTTGCAGTGGGAACCTCTAAAAACACTGGGATCATGTTTCTGAACGAGGTAGCTCTGGGTAAAGAGCACACCATCACCTCTGGCAACAGCTCGCTGAGGAAAGCTCCCAAAGGCTTCGACTCTGTGGTGGCGAGAGGATCCCTTGAGCCAGGTAAAGGTGTCTGCTTTTGTGTGAAACAGTAGGACCACTCTAGTAGTGGTGCGGGGAAAAAAACTATTCTGTTCAGTATCACGATATTTTGCAATTAAATCGATACAGTAGAGCCAAGTATTGGGATTTGATTAAGCAATTATCTGTTTCACTTTTGTGTTTTCTCAAAGTTATTCTTGATATAATTTACATCTGAGGTTTATGTTATTCTAATATTTCTTCTTTTTATTAGTCTAGTCCAGGGGTCTCCAACCTGTGGCTCAGGAGCTACCAGTACCTCGCCACCTCTGAATAATAAGAGGGACATAAATTAAAAATATATTCCAGAATAGATATACTTATATTGCAATACTATCGAATTGTCACATTTTTGCCAATTCCCACCCCTACTCCCTAAATATTTGTTGTAAATTGAGTCTTGTTTATTTGGGCATTTAGAAGACAAAAGAAATAATAATGTGAAGAAAAAAAAAAAAAACTACAGAAAGAAAATAGCCCAAAAGGGAGTTGGCAGAAGCTGAAACAGCTTATCTGGGCGTACCCCTATTGCCAATCAAATGCATAACACTTACACATACATACCTTGATATATACATAATACACATGCACACATTAATATAATACACATTTATCCATACACATATATACACATACATATATATACATACACACACATATATACACATAGACATACATATACCCACATGTACATATACATACATATAGATACACATACACATACGTACATATCTACATATTATTAATTATGAATATTATTATGTATTATTTGATATTATTTTTAAATATTACTATTGTTTATTATTATGGTACTAAGTTTCTTTTTGTTCAATGTATTTTTCCAGAGCATTTATTTTGAAGGTTTTTTGAAATTGTTGAATAGAGATAGAGCTTTTTAAGGCCTCATCCAGGCCATTCCAAAGCTGGACCCCCCTCACAGATATACAGTGACCCTTAATATTAGTTCTTACATTTGGTTTTTGGAAAACTTTGGAGCCTCTGAGATGGTATGTACTCTCCCTGGGTTTGAACCAGTCTTGGATACGCTGAAGCAGCATGTGATTATGGGCCTTATACATTACAATTGCAGTGTTTAGATCAACAAGATCGTAAAACTTTAGTGTTTTAGATTTAATAAACAAGGAATTAGTGTGTGCATAATAATCAGCATAATGTATGATTCTGATGGCTTTCTTTTGGAGTGTGAAAATTGATTTGGTGTTAGATTTATAATTATTAGCCCATATTTCAATACAGTCATTGAGATATCGCAGTATGAAGGAATTATATAACATATTAAGTGCATCATGATTTACAGATTTTGTATTTTGTATAACATACCTATACTTTTTGAGAGTTTTGTCTTTAGTATGTTTATGTGCAGCTTCCAATTTAATTCATGATCTATGTTGACTCCCAAGAATTTAGTAGAATACACCCTTTCAATTTCCACATCAGATATTTGTATCTGGCATGGTGTGTCAATATTTCTGTTTCCAAAAATGATGTCCATCCATCCATCCATTTTCTACCCTTTAATCCATTTCTGGGTCAGGGGGGTGACAGTCAGAGATGCCACCCAAGTCTCATAGCACCAGCCCCTCACTGACCCTCTGCAGGTGGTGAGACCACAGGAGGACGGCTGCTCTCTGAGTGTGAGCATAGCCTTGATCTTTCAGTGGGGGCTTTAGGCAAAGTGGGGTTAAGTGTCTTGCCCAAGGACACAACGACAGCGGTCATCAGTGGGAGTCAATGGAGAAGGTGCAGAGGTGGGAATTGAACCCACGACCTTCTGGGCTTAAGGCCAATGCTCTACCAACTGTCGCCCACAAAAATTATGTATTTAGTTTTATTCAAATTTATGGATAATTTGTTTGTATCAAACCACTGTTTAAGAATAACAAGTTCATTCTTTACTGTTGAAATTAGTTTCTTGAGATCTGGCCCAGAGCAGTACAGGCTTGTCATCAGCAAACAGTATACATTTTAACTTTTAAAACACTTGACATACATCATTAATATACATTAGAAATAGCTTAGGTCCCAATACAGAGCCTTGAGGAACTCCGTGTGTTAAGATCCTTTTATCTGAATCTGTATTGTTTATTTGAACATAGTGCTCCACCAAGATAACTCTTTAGCCAATCACAAGCAAGACCGGTCGATATAGAAATCGACCAAACTTAGGAAGATTTCCTCCAGGTGCTCCATTTTCCACTACCATGGACAAAACTCTGCTCTCTCTGGGCCTTAGACCAGGCAAAGAGTGTAAGAATATGAGTTTCTTGTCAAACTTTAGAAGGCAGGGACTGATTATTACCATAGATTGTATATACTGTAGATGGACAATGCTAACCCACTAATTCAATTAAGCCCTATAGGGACTAAACTGAGATGATATTACAGGGTCATATGGTCTTTTTTGACATGATATTACAATATTTTTTTATTGTAAAAAGGAAACGCAATTGAGGTGTCTGAGACTCTCTCTGGTCTATGGTCTCTCTTTGGTCTCTCTGGTCTCTCTCTGATGCTACCAAACCACATGCTTCAGAGCCTGGAAGCAACAGAACCAATCAGTTAATAATAATAATAATAATACATTTTATTTATAATGCACTTTACATTTCAGGGAAACCTCAGAGTGCTACAAAAACAGGGAACATCCCCAAGATACACAACATAAAAACAATACATCAAATATAACATCAGGAAAAAATAAAAACATAATTACTGTACAGTTGATGTGTTGACATGTGTTTTGTGTGCAGACCCCTCTCAGGACGTCTTCATCACTCTGGACGGGAAGCAGGTGGCCGTCCCCCAGGGCCCCGCCATCGAGCAGCCTCAGTACAAAGACAGCTCCTTCTCCAGCAGTGAATATCTGATCTACAAAGAGAGCCAGTGTCGCATGCGCTTCCTGCTGGAGCTGAACATGAAATGAAAACATCGGCTTCAGCACAGGCTGAAACCACGGAGAGAGTACCACTGGGTAACAACATCCAACCCACAACCCAATATACAGCTGTGTATGAACGGCTACACACCCAACCAGAAAGATTTGCCCATAGATTTCCTCCAGGTGCTTCTGTTTTCCCTGCCACTAAACTGTACAATAGTTTACATAACCTCCAGCTCTGGTCCTGAAGAGCCTCAACATCTGGAGAGTGGGTCCCTTGTTTCTACGGCAACCACTGTTCCGAGCAGAGGCCCTAGTGCAGGATGGGTTAAATGCAGAGGACGCATTTGCCTACAAGGAAAAAAGAAACAAAAACATCCTTTATAATGTCCAAAATGAGATCAAAACAAACATCTGGCTTGGTGTGTAAACATTCAAGCACAACTGTTTATGTTCAAACAATGTTCACGTTTGAACTTGAAAATGTTAGATTACTGAAAACCTGATAAATGAAATCTTCTCTCTATATCAAAATAAATATTTCAAAGTTTATTAAAGAGATTGTCAGATGTTATATGTTATAAAAAACAAAACATTGTGTGTTGAATGTCAAAAACAGTAAGAAGTCTTCACGTCTGAGGTCTTGTTCTCAGTGAGGAGGGAGCAGCTTCTGCAGTCAGAGCTCTCTATTCACCGCTCAGTCTACGTCCCCTCCCTCACCTCTGGCTATAGGCTTTGGACAACGACCAAAAGGACGAGATAGTGGATAAAAGCAGTCCACATGAGTTTAGGATAGAGTGAGGGGCTCAGTCTGACACTCACTCTGCTCTCTCTCTCTGACCTTTCTCGGTTCTCTCTCTCACTCTCACTCTGGTCTTTCTCTCTCTGGTCTCTCTCGCTTTGGTTTATCTCTGGTCTGTCTCCCACTGGAAGGAGAACATGCTGAAGTCACTCTCTCGTTTATCTCATTCTCGTCTCTCTCTGATCCTTCTCTGATCTCGCTCTGGTCTCGCTCTGGTCTCTTTCCCACTGGAAGGAGAACAGGCTGGAGTGACAGTCTCTCAGCTGGCCAGGGAAAGAAGGATGTCTGGCTGTGCCCCTGAAGCAACGGATAAAGTGGACAAAGATGGATGGTAGTCTTCACAGAATGCCATAGATGTAACACTTGTTTTTTAGAAATGACTAAATCTGCTTGAAGTCAGCTGACAATTCTGCAAAATCATGTTTGCACTTAAACAGTAATAATGTTTAATTGTGTAGCGCACTTTTGGAAGGAAGGGTTCTCTATATGTTGGTCAAATCCTGCTTTACTATGAGACAAGCAAATATACAATGCTGTCTGTAACTTTGATCTAATGTTGCACTTTGTAAAATAACTAACCCTGTAGTTATAGAAGTTTGCCTTAAACCTGACACACAGTAAATATGAATGTACTGGACCTGGATCATCTGTGTCCGACTACCGGTGTCTGATTGTTTTACCATAAAGTGTGGTATATTTCTCTTTATCTGTTTGTTTTCTGCGACTCGGCAATGGATGAAACAGGAGAAAATGGATGGAAGTTTGTTTAAATGTTGTGTTTGCATTATTTGCACGTCTTCACATTATGCCTTTTGGAAACTGCAAGTGTTGTTTTCAGGGCTGCATCCAAACTCACATCCCTCCTCTGCCTCATTCTTTCTTAAAACGTCTTACCCCTTGGTAAATGAGGATTCCAACACGGTTTCATTATTAAGTTGCTTTAACACTAGAACTCTCAGAGCAGTCATTTTGACCCTGGAACAATGTTTTAATCAGTCGATGAAAGAATAGAGACTGAGAAGGCTGTATTTTTATCACACCGATGGTTTCACTGAAAAAATGTCATGTTTGTTGTTAATTAGAGGAGCAGTATTTAAAAAATCTGGACAAAGTGGTTCTGCAGAAGAAGCCGCCTGGAAACATAATAAGTGAATAGACCAGAGAAGGCCCAATAGGAATCCTTGTTTTGTCATTAATCATTTGAGAATCAAAACGAGCGGCCAAATGTTACTTTACTTGAGATTAGCTCGAGTGAGTTCTAGCAACCTGGATCACAGACTTTCTGATTTACGATTTAGGGGTTCAGAATCTAATTTTGAAATTAAAATATCTCGACTGATCTACTGTTTTCAGTTAAAGCAGTATTGGAAAAGAGTATGATTTATTAATGTTTATCATTACATATCAGGAACATTTAATGATGTCTTGAAAAGAAAATCTTACATATTGCTACTTTAAATGTCACTTAAAGTTGACCGGGCTGGTCGTATCACAGCCGACCCCTCTCACCCTGCACATGGACTATTCCAACCACTCCCCTCAGGCAGGAGGCTGCGGTCCATCAGGACTAGAACCTCCCGCCACAAGAACAGTTTCTTCCCCTCTGCTGTTGGACTCTTGAACACTTCTTAACCTGTCCCCCCGCCCTTTATAAAGTCACTTTACTGCCCATCATACGTCACTTTACTTCACTGTACTGCTGTCACCTTACATTGTGTGCACCATGTGCACTTGTATATTGTAAATAGTAACTGTAACTCTATTTTAAATTTAAATTTATTCTTTAGAAGTGTTTTTTATTCTTATTTTTATTATCTCTTTTTGACTGTTGCACTGAGCCAAAGCAATTTCCAAGTCTGTGACCTCCCGTTACTTACGTTGGCAATAAAAATGATTCTGATTCTGATTCTGATTCTGACTTATAGACTTATTTAAAGTCCATAATTGACTTTAAATGGAGCATCCTTGTTTTGGAAAAAAATCTGTGGTGTCAGTGTGTAGATTAAGGCATAATGAGGGTCATTGATCGAATTTGAATGCAGCCCCAAAATGCTTTTCATCTCTAGTATTTGAGTTTGGCCTCTTCTCTTCTGTTACTTCTAATTTTGCAAATTGCTTCCACATTATGTTTAATAATTCTGTATTTGTTTAATACTGTGTATGTTTCTATAGTATAGATATACGAGAGGAACTGCTGCACTACATCAAGGGGAATGTAACACGTTTATCTTTGAGTTGCTTTTCTAATCTGCTTTTGCACTTTGACTTCAATCATGTAATAAACCTGCACTACTCACCAATTCTGTGATGGTCTCTGCTTAAAATAGAGAATTTTCTAAAAAAAATTATGTATTCCCCTAAATCACAACAGCAGTGAGTTTAGTTTATTTCAGACTCAACTTGAGACCGGGGCTGGGACTGAGACTTGGATAGCCCGAGTCTCAGTCCGAGTACCAGGTCTCTGCCCGAGTCTCGGACTGGGACTTATTGGATGAGAGAATAGAGACAGAGACAGGTGTGTTTTATATCACACTGATTAACAAATAAATATAATTGTTAAAATTACATTATATGCCGCTCTTTACAATCGCGTGTCTGTGGTCCCTGCTCCCTCTGGTGGCAGCTTAGGTCGTCACAGGCGGAAATATTTTTTTTAACCTTTTATTCGTTTGGTTTAGGGTTTCACCCCATATTTGTTTTCTACTTAAGACTTTATTTCACATTCTTAAGTACAAAGTCTTGCAATAATGTTCAAAGCTCAGTGCATAGTAATTCTTCTTTAAGAGGCGACAGTAGCTCAGTTGGTAGAGCAGAAGGTCGTGGGTTCGAGCCCACCTCAAGAATTTCACCACCGACTGCCTCTGTCTGCTGTCGTTGTGTCCTTGGCAAGACACTTAACCTCTGGGAACACACCCCATTGCCTAGAATGAGTCTAGTGTGAGTGTGAATGGTTGGAGGGGCTGATGGCACACTCTGGTTGCCTCGCTTCTGTCAGTGTGCCCCAGGGCAGCTGTGGCTACAGTAGTAGTTTATCACCACCGTGTATGGAGTGAATGAATAATGACGTGTTGAGTGTCCAAAAAAGTGCTAATTAAAACCGATGCATTATTTCAGTGTTTTTATGAGATGAGCCAAAGATGAATTTCTGTAAACTCATTATTGATTATGTATTCGTCTGCAGGGGGCGGGGCTTGCATGTATGGGGCGGGGCTTGACTGTGGGGGGCAGTATCAAGGACCCTGACTCTTCTGGCCACAGTGAAGCGTGTGTGTCCCACAGAACAATGAGAGACAGTCACACAGCGGCACCAGCACCAGGACCAGCACCAGGACCAGCACCAGGACAGCCCCAGGATCAGCACCAGGACCAGCACCAGGATCAGCACCAGGAACAGAACCAGGACCTGTCAAAACAGGCTTAAAAACATACACAGGGATCTAAATTTTAACTGTAGCCTGTGGAACTGAGGTAAGTCTGATTTGTACTCATTTATACTTTTAGAAATGTCATGGATTATGTAGAGATTATGTCAAACTCATGGGGCCGAAGCAAATCTTTGCATCTGTGATATTTTTTATGCGGTTTTCAGACAAAAGGATTACTGTAATTTAACCTGAGTTTGGAGATTGTTTACAAGACTAGAATCACTTCTTTAGGTCAACTCTTTGAATAGAATAAATGTAGTTCTTTTCTTGAGAAGCTATGCCATTGATGCTCATGATAAGTTTATGGTAATAATTAAAACATCTTCTCAGCTGCCTCTAAAGATGGTCTGGCTGAAACTCAGACTTGGGTTTGACGCCTGTGATGATGTGAGAAATTAAGTAAGTAATGTCAATACTGAGGCTGTAGATCCAGGACTGATTCTTTAGATCCAGGACTGAGGCTGTAGATCCAGGACTGAGGCTGTAGATCCAGGACTGACTGTAGATCCAGGTCTGATTCTTTAGATCCAGGACTGAGGCTGTAGATCCAGACTGAGGCTGTAGATCCAGGACTGAGGCTATAGATCCAGGACTGAGGCTGTAGATCCAGGACTGAGGCTGTAGATCCAGGACTGAGGCTATAGATCCAGACTGAGGCTGTGGATCCAGGACTGAGGCTGTAGATCCAGGACTGAGGCTGTAGATCCAGGACTGAGGTTGTAGATATAAGGCTCAGACTGAAGATCCAAAAGCACTACCCCAGACCTTTAACATTTGTCATCAGATGTAACAACAGATGTATTTCATTATCGCCTTATGTAGTCTGGTGTAAGTCAGGCAGTACTAGCTTCTCTTACACTTGCACTCAAATCAGTCCCTCAAAAAGTCTAACCCGGCCGCTGCCCTTCTTCTAATAACACAGACATTTGTAGTTTTTATAGTGATTCCCCTTGATTTCAGTGTTGATGAAGATTTTTATATTTATATTTTATATATATATATTTGAACTTGGTACATTATAAAACATATAAAGCCGTGACATACATACGTAAATGAGTATTTAGACCATCCCTGTCTCTCTCTCTCACCTCGCCCTCTATCGCTGTTACTCTACTCTGCCACTCTTCACTGGGCTGAGTGGATAGCACTCTTGCCTCTCTGCAAGAAGGTCCTGGGTTCGAATCCCGGTTGTGCCTTTCTGAGTGGAGTTTGCATGTTCTCCCTGTGTCTGCATAGGTTTCCTCCGGGTGCTCCGGTTTCCCCTACCACTAAAAAATATGTACAATAGGTCTGGCATGTGCCTCCTGTACTGGCACCCCTGCTCCCAGTGGGCAGCCACCGTGGGCGGCACGGTGGCTGAGTGGATAGCACTCTCGCCTCTCAGCAAGAAGGTCCTGGGTTCGAATCCCGGTTGGACCAGGGCCTTTCTGAGTGGAGTTTGCATGTTCTCCCCGTGTCTGCGTAGGTTTCCTCCGGGTGCTCCGGTTTCCCCTACCACTAAAAATATGTACAATAGGTATGGCATGTGCCTCCTGTACTGGCACCCCCACCCAACAATTGTAAACCGCTTTGAGACTCTGATGTGCAGTGAAAAGGCGGTATATAAATAAAAGCTTACTTACTTACTTACTTACTTACTCCCAAAAATCACAATTGTAAACCGCTTTGAGACTCAGATGTGCTGTAGGCTGTATATAAATAAAGATTACTTACTTCCCTCTCTCTGTCTTCCCCTCTCTCTCTCACACACACACACACACACACACAAGCTGACAGACAGTTGCATAACCACTTTCTGATATTACTTTCCTTTAAACTGTGTTCTTTTTCCTCCAGACCGCCACGAGTCTACAATGACACCCTTTGAACCTTGACTTAAAAATGTCCTTCCTCCAGCTCCTCGCTCCCACCTCTAACCTCTCCTCCACCGTTCTGCCGACGGTGCCCGCTGATCTGGGCGTGGTCACCGGCTCCCAGTCCCAGATCAAAGACCTGCTGGGCCTGTTCTGTATGGTCACCCTGGACCTGATCGCCCTCCTGGCCAACGTCGGCGTCATGGTTGCCATCGCACGTGCCCCACACCTCAAACGTTTTGCCTTCGTTTGTCATCTCTGCGCCGTCGACGTCCTGTGCGCGGTCCTCCTGATGCCACTGGGAATCCTCTCTAGCTCGCCGTATTTCGGAACCGTGGTGTTTACTATCCTGGAATGCCAAGTCTATATATTCCTGAACGTGTTTCTCATCTGCCTGTCCATCCTCACCATCACGGCTATTAGCATCGAGCGCTATTTCTACATTGTCCACCCCATGCGCTACGGCGCCAACATGACCGTGAACCTGGTGATCGGCGCCATGTTGCTGATCTGGGTAAAATCGCTGGTGCTGGCCGCGGTCACACTCTTTGGTTGGCCCGCGTACGGAAGCCACAGCTCCATCTCAGCGGCGCACTGCTCGCTCCACGCTAGCCACAGCAGTCTGCGCAAACTATTCGCCGTTCTCTTTAGCCTGGCTTGCTTCGCGGTGCCTTCCCTTGTGATTTTTATCGTTTACTGTGCGGTGTACAAGGTGGCGAGGTCAGCAGCAAAGCTACAAGCGCCTGCAGTAGCGCCGTGCCAGGATAAGGAGCGCTCAGGGTCTATAAACAGCCAAACGACAATGCTTGCGCGGACTTTGCCCCAACGATTGTCGCCGGAGAGAGCGTTCAGCGGCGGGAAAGCTGCGCTCACTCTGGTTTTTGTTGTAGGACAGTTTCTGATTTGCTGGTTGCCGTATTTTGTCTTTCACCTGCAAATGGCGCTAAGCGAATCTATGAAAAGTCCTGGAGATGTGGAGGAAGTGGTGAACTGGCTGGCTTTCTCTTCTTTCGCTGTGAATCCCTTTTTCTACGGTATTTTAAACCGGCAGATCAGAGACGAGCTGGTCAAGTTCAGGAGGTGCGGTTGGACTCAAACTGTGGAGATGGGGAGTCATGAAGGATCGCTCCAAGATAACTTTCTGCAGTTCTTCCAGAGGACCACGGGCAGCAGCATCAGCAGTAGCAGTAGCAGTAGTGTGGGCAGAAGGACCAGTCTAAGAGCCAGCGTGATCTCAAAGGAAGTAGCAGAGGAGGCTTGCTTCTCTCCAGAAAGAGAAACCAGAGAGAAAGACTAGTGTAGGAGACCAAAGAGAGAGACTGGAGGGAGAGAGAGAGAGAGAGAGGGAGGTGCGGTGAGAGAGAGACTACTGACTAGGGCCCTGGTCAAGAAGTAGTCTGAGGTCTCTACGACAAAATAAACAAGGAAAGTAGAAAAAAATATTTACCGGTATACACAATGCATTATTTTTGTACATTTTTTCCCATTTGAGAACGTTGAATTTTAGAATGTGAAATAAGCTATGAAGTGAATTATGCGGATGGATGTATATTATTTAAGGGATTGTCATGACCAACATTGTGGTAAATTAAATTCTGTGTTTAAATATTAAGCAAATTTAAGTTGTAGAGAATATTTAATTCCTTTGGCTCAGAGAAAAGGATTAGCAACTTTTCTTGTGTTCAAGTCTCTCCACGGCCTCGCACCAAAGATCATCTGTGACAAGTTACTGCCATATGGACTAACTTGGACTCTGAGGAGCACAGGGACTGGCCTCCTGTTGGGACTCTGAGGAGCACAGGGACTGGCCTCCTGTTGGGACTCTGAGGAGCACAGGGACTGGCCTCCTGCTAGTGCCCAGTGTTAGGCAATGTTTCAGATTTAAGCAGCTAAAATCTGGAACAGTCTTCTTGAAAATGTGAGACAGGCTTCTCTGTCAATGTTCAAGTCCAGGTTAAAAACAGTTCTGTTTAGCTGCAAGAACTGAAGCATTGTGTCGTAATAAAGATTCTCTTGTTGCATCTTATTCCACACTGGTAAAGTTGTGCTTTTAATTAAATTCTCATCCCATTTTTTTTTACTGTGAGACAATCATCAACGTCAATGAGTTTTCTTTTATTTACAAACATTTTATTGACAGTGCAGCCTAAACAAACAGAACAGAGAGTGTGACATCAGTGACGTGAGCCTCGTGCACAATACTCCATTGTCCAGCAATACTTCCACAGTACTCTCCTCATGAGTGACATCACCCCGGAGTCTCACAGCCCTCCGCAAAAAACATTCAAATGATGTGGCCACAGGTTTAGCTACATTCACACGAGGTTGTTGGAGAATAAAGATATTCTACATTAAGCAGCACAAGCTTCTAGAAGAAGTTAGAAGAAAATCTTAAGTCCAAATCTAAACATAAAATGAAAGCCCTGTTTCCACCAGCTCTGCTCTACTCTACCTGAACTAAAGCTACTCTACTCTAGCAGAGGAGAGTAGCATAGGGTTGAGTAGAGATTTAAGCCTAGCGTACATCGGACTGGCAACTGATTATATCCGTCGCCTATGAGTTGCTGCCCCGCACATATCAACAATGTGGCGAAAACGGGAAACTCCTAGTAGCAGACCAGTCTCGGGAATAACAGCGCGTATTGACAGCAACTGGCCTCAACTACAGTGTGTTTTCTGGCATAAACTGTAGAGGGGGCGCAATACACACATGTTGTTGGAGCGCACACATCGGGTGATATCTCCGGATCTGAGTACAACTAGTTGCCGAAAAGTAGAACACGGGCAACTGACTGAATCCGGAGATTGTATGAGCGCTCACATCGACCGATTTTGGCAACTGATCATCTCCCATCGTCTACTCTCAGTTGCCAAAAGCCGCCTTGCAACTAGTTGTCTCCAGTTACTCTGTTGATGTACGCTAGGCTTAAAGAGAGATTTAGATTTAAGTAGAGTGGAGTTGAGTTGCGTCGGATAGAGAAGAGATATTTTGAGTAGAGAAGAGAATCAGAATCTTTTTTATTGCCATGTGAGTAACAGGAAGTCACAAACTAGGAAATTGGAAAGCGGGCTTAAGTGTAGGAGGCCTCTGTTGTTCATATTAAGGCACTTGGTTCAGTGATGTCACTTACAAAATGATGTGGAGATAATAAACAGACTGAGTAAACCGCAGAAGTGCTCACCATTAGAGCAGCTCAGAGAAGTACCAAACCCGAACTCAGCGTTTGTCTCTTAAACATTTGGTTGTATCGTGAGTGCTTTTGTTGCGGCTGTACTGTGTTCTACTTCAAGTTCACTCAGGATGTTTCGACCACAGAGGCCGGCCAGTCGCATTATTCCCTTTATGACAGATGCCTGACCACAGATAGACCGTATACAGATGGACGAGGCTAACATGTAAGCACATTGAATCCAAATAGGGAAGTGCTCATGGCTCAAGCTCTTTCTGGCTCCCACTGGCACTTATATGTAAAAGTAAACTCCTCTAGTTCAGTAACTGTTTGTGTCACACTCACAATTTTGGGCTTAAATCTGTAGTTTAAGCGCTCTCTGTGTCTCTGTGATCCTGGTGTTTATATTGTGATATTTTCTTTGTAAATTCACGAGCCATATTAGGATTGACCAATCAGATGCCTTCATTTGCAGGGGAAACTCCAGCTTGCCTGAGCAATCATCTTAGCAACACGTCTGCCCCTGTTACGGTGCAAAGCTAACACTGTCGGAGCAAATGCCCATATAAGGAAATGGGCTCCAGATATCTTATGTTCAAATCTGCTTCTTCAGCATTAAGGCTAACACTATGGTGATGTTACGCTCAGTCATTCCACTGCTCATATACATGGAACAGCTCCTGAATGCCTCTTTGGTTGCTAGGTAGTTGCCATGCAATTGTTTAGCTCCAGATTTCTGTACATAGAGCCGGTTTGAGTTAGCTTTAATCTGGTCTTTCGCACTATGGTTATGTCACACTCGGTCAGTGCACTCCCTCTACCGCAGGGGAGGGCAATGGTTTTTTTTTCCCGAGGGGTCACATTAGATGTCATTCTTTATTTAGATTGAGTGTTAGCTCATCTTTTGCATCTCTTGGCGATATTTTTGTAACCCTTTTACAATACGGGACAAACTGTGGGGAAATTATTCTTATTTCAACTATGTTTTGTACTGAACCAAAGCTGGACTGAAGCTAAATAAATAAGGCTAAATGTTGTGGACAGATACAGGTTTAGATGAATTATGAGATAAAACATGCCATCGTAGTTCTGATGAAGTTGCAAACCTTCATTGAGTAGTGATTCCCATTCATTTAAATAGTGGGAGACGGTATAAAGTTTGGGAAGATGGGAAAAGGTGGCCCCCAGGTCTGCTCTGTCAGCTATGGTCCTGATGACTTCAGACATTAGAAAATTAACTAAACAACAAATTATTCATTTGTCTGACCTCCACAAGAGGTCAGTAGAGGGCGCACAGATGAATCATTAATAAAAAGATCTATTTCACGCTTGCCTAGCCAGGCTCCAATTTAAATACAGTACAATTAGCAACAAGAGATTTCAACACAAAAAAGCATTATCATTTCTAACGCATTAAAACAAACAGCAAGTCCATAAGCCTAACATTCAATCTTTTTACAAACAAGGTCTATTTCTCTGTGTTTTTTGCTCAGTGCTAGTTCATAGACTGTATGTAGATCAATAATGCTGACGCTCTAAAGCCCAATAGCAACCGTCTTAGCAACATGTCTGCCCCGGTCAGGGTTATGGCGGAATAAATACCTATATAAGGAAATTGGCTCCAGCTAGCTTGCATCCATAATAGCTTCTTTCCCTTTAAGGCTAAAACTATGGTGGCGTCAGTCCAATGCTAATACACAGTCTATACTGCTAGCTAAACAAACTTATTTATTACTCATGAAAACTATTTTTGCCATCGGCGACAAGTCTTGATGTTAAGGCAGAAACGGCTTGAGTTCATCCCAAAGTGTCGTCTTCTCTGCTTTTGCCATGCTTTTGATTTCGGCCATTTTCCATGTTTGCCTCGTCTTCACACGCATAATTACCATAAATCTTTGTTGGGCACACTTCAAAATCCAAGACCAGCCAGGAAACCAGCCACCGAATTGTGACCAGAAGTGCCCACGATCGCTCACACTTTAGTCCAAAGTCACACGAGTAGATTTGAAATAGTCCATTTTTCTAACTCTCTTACAAAGTCCCGTCGGTCCAGTGCGTGGCCCAGTCCTTCTTGTGGACACCTGCTCCTGATTGGTCGGTCTGGAACTGCGGTCGGTCCTGGCGGGGGATCTTCACCGCGTGATACTGAGGCAACTTGTCTTTGTACGGTGCTCGACGGAAGAATCCACACTGCACACAGAGAGAGGAGCTTCAGAGACGTGCGAGAAAAAGAGATTAACAGCAGGACTGCAGAGATCAGGAAGTACTGTAAGAGAACTCCCACAGTCTCCCAAAGTGATGGATCCAAAAACATTAGTTTTACACCAGTTTTATTAAAAATAAGTTACCAATAAGGGGTTTTCCTTTACTCAATTTCACTAAGTGCTGAAACTGGTGACTATATCTGAAATACAGATAGCATAAAGTACTGTTAGCAAAACAGTTTGTTGAAGGTCTAAAGGCTAAATGGTAGCTGGCTCTTCTCTGGTGGAAAACCAAGCTGACTCAGCTCCTAACCAGGACCAGTCCAGGACCATAGACTGTATATATTAACGGACGTAGTCACGCCTATCTCCGCCGTTCTAACTGATGGGCCAAGAATTGGGCGTTCATGGAGTGATTCAAAATTCCATGAATCACTCCATGGAGAAATGTGAAAAAAAGCATCTGCGCATGCACCAGTTCACACCGAGTAAACTAGACTGGTCCGAAAAAAATCTCAGCATTGACACACATGTGGAACGGAGCTTTGGGCCAAGAGCCAACTTTTGGACCATCCTGTAAAGGTGTTTTTGAGAGGTAATGCTATATGTTAGCATTGTCTAATTCTTATTCCGGGTCCACCCTCATCGGCCCGGGGTGGTATTGCAAGAATGTCAGCGCACGTCATTTGGCCACTTTTGAGCCGGGACCCGCCCCCACTGTCCAGGACCAGCACCTTGAAAAAGGGTTTTGATAGATAATTTCCTAAAAATATTGTCAGATAAACAAACAAAAAATTGATACAGGAAAAATCACAAAGTTATAAAGAAAGATAAAACTTAAAGCCGTCAGTTTGACTGCTCTGGCAGTTCTAGTGCTAACAGATCCTTTATTTGTCCAAGGGTGGGAAAATGTCAGTGTTGCACCACAGGATACAGTAGGATTAAGGAGCACAACACAAACAAGTGAATTTTAACCAGGTTGCCAGGTCTATAGTACATCTTTTAATGATCGACAATACAGTAAAAAATAGCTCATGCTGTAAGTGTCGGGCTCACTGCAAAAACACAAGGCACAAACATCACAGCACAGAACACAACTCGCTGATTCGAGGTCAGTGAGCGTAAAAAGGGGAGGAGCCAGCACACGTCCAAGTGTTTACCGTTCGCAGGGGGAGGAGGGGGGAGCAGGCCATAGGACTGACCACAGCAGGTCAGAGGTCAGAGGCATGTTTCTCCACCTCCGAGGGCTGGACCCCCAGGTGGGCTTGGTAATACTCCGTCTCATAGTGTGGACGAGGCTCACTGCGTTTGAAGAAGCCACACTGGCAGAGGAAGAAGTGGGGAGAGAGGACAGGTGAGGAGGGAGGAAGGACACAGGAGGGATAGAGGGGAGGGAGAAGGGAGGAGAAAGGATGGTAAAAAGAAAAGAGGACAGAGGAGGGAGCAGGAGAGAGGAAGGAGAGAAGGGATGGATGAGAAGGAAGAAGGAGACAGTACAGGTGCGGAGGGAGCAAGGAGAGAGAATAGAGATAAGGAAGAGAGGATGGGGAGGAGAGATTACGGACAGGGGAGAGAGAGGATGAGGAAGAAAAGAGATGGGAGAGAGGACAGGTGAAGGAAGGAGTGATAGCAGTTAACGGGGGAATGAGAGAGGACAGGCGAGGGTAGAGGGAAGAACAAAGGGGAGAGGAGGAGGACACAGGAGAGAGGACAGAGGAAAAATGAAATGATGCAGAGATAGAAATGAGTCATGTGAGATGGTTTTTGGATCAATAGAAGTTCAAAGGTCACCACAGCTGTCGCCTGTTTTGAAACTCTCCAGTGATGTTGTGAAATTTTGTTTGTGAACCATAGACACTTTTAAAGAAGGAGGGCGGTTTAAGGACAGTGATGATCCAGGACATTAATGGACATTTATGGACAGTGGTCATCCCGCTCTCTATGGACCGATGTCTCCTGTTACGCTGTTTCCGGTGTAACAGTCTATCACACTAATCTGGAGGGAACAGCAAAAGTAGCTAAAAAAACCCCATCTTTTCCATTGTCCACAAATTACTACTAGTACTCCCCTCCGCTTGCCTATTTAGTGAATTGTATTTCTGATAAAACAGGACAAAGTAGTGGAGTAGAGTAAAGTAGAGCAGAATAAAATAGGGTAGGGTAGAGTAGAGTAGAATAGGGTTCGGGTAGAGTAGGGTAGAATAGGGTAGAAAAGAGTAGAGTAGAGTAGAGTAGAGCAGAGCAGAGCAGAGCAGAGCAGAGCAGAGTAGAGTAGAGTAGAGTAGAGTAGAGTAGAGTAGAGTAGAGTATAGTATAGTATAGAGCAGCCATTCCCAAACTCAGTAACACCGAGGCCCCCTTAAAAATCTGACGGGTCTGCGTGGCCCCCCAAAATAATAACCAAGAAGACAACATTAAGAATAGGCTCTTCTGGTTATTTTATTTTGGGGAAATAGCCTCTGCTACAAACATTGTAATACAAAAATGATTACAGTGGATTATTCAAGTCAAATAATGAACACAAATATTTTAATATTACAAACAAAACATTATACATTTAACATTAAATAATTATATATATATATATATTTTTTTTTATGACCTCCCGCGGCCCCCCTGCAGTACCCTCGCGGCCCACCAGGGGGCCGCGGACCCCACTTTGGGAGACACTGGTATAGAGTATAGAGTAGAGTAGAATAGAGTAGAGTAGAGTATAGGGTAGAGTAGAGTAGAGTAGAGTAGAGTAGAGTAGAGTAGAGTAGAGTAGAGTAGAGTAGAGTAGAGTAGAGTAGAGTAGAGTAGAGTAGAGTAGAGTAGAGCAGAGCAGAGCAGAGCAGAGCAGGACTGTGTGTATGCTCTGTGATTGGCCAAACCTGTGGACTAGACTGTGGATCTTGACCTGACTGGGACTCGTCAGTTCTGTCTCTTATTCTGATCCGATATAATCAAATCTAAGTCATGACCACTGTGCAGTATGTGTCACAGAGACGCAGATCTGGCTCGTACCTTCCAGAGGAGGCAGACGAGCAGCGTGAGCAGCAGGATCCCGGCCAACACCGCGATGAGGATGATCCACCAGGGGATCCAATACTGGTCCGAGAGGCCGGGCTCCGGGTAGACCATCACCGGGATCTGAAAGACACACCAGGGGAGTCTGACAGGTCCTTCTTTAGTCCCTCTTGGCCCTGGCTCTACCCAGCTGTTACTAAAGAGTTCTAACTGACAGTGATTGGCCAGAGCGCTGTTGGATGCCATGGTTACCCAGGAATTTCCACGGATTCTGGTTTGTGGTGGGTGGGTCACTTTTGGATGCGGTACCAGATACTCAAGAGTAACGGAAACACAAACAGCTAGAGTAGAGTAGGAGAGTAAAGTAGGGCTGGTGGAGACCATGTAGATACCAGTTATTAGAACATGTTTGCAGAGTTCTGGTACCTGAGCGGCGGCGTCTCTCAGCACCAAATGTTTGATGCTGGATTTGACGGTGATGTTCGCTCTGACCATCACCTCCAGAGCACTCGCAGACGGGAACTCCTGTGAAACACACAACATTTGTATAGTATAGCACCATAAATCATACACAAGGCAACTCAGAGCTTTTCAGCGCGGGCTTCTTTTTATCATTATTATTTTTATTTTTTTTAATCATTATTATTTTCTAATGATTTTTCTAATGACATGCATATATATATATTTATTAATAATAATGTCCGTTGATTGACAACAAGTTATTTAAAAAGCGAACACACGTAACATTAATAGAAATGGATCAGGTGGTCGTACAAAACACATTCAGAAGTGGCTAAACTTGCAATTGGAAGGTGAGTGCGCGCAAGGGAAATCAGATGTGTCGGGCTTCTGTCAGGCTCGGGCCTATTATACAGCCTTAATTGGTCGGGCTTATACGGGCTCGGGCAAGGTATTAGCGGGCTTGGGCCGGGTCGGGCTTGATTTTTCAGGCCCGAACAAAACTCTAACTCAGAGTGGTGAAACAAGAGATAGACATTAAAATCACAGAAGGCAAAACAGGTGAAGATACAATACTTCGGTTTTTGCAGCTAAATAGAACTGGAATTTAACATTGTCAGAGTAAGCGCCTGTCTCACATTTTCAGGAAGAATGGTCCAGATTGTAGCTGCATGACCATGTTTGGTCCAGACTCTGGGCACCAGCAAGAGGTCAGTCCCTGTGCTCCTTAGAGTTGAGTTGTTTCAAATGAGTAGATATATATTTTAATAAAGACTGTATTGCAAGTTTTTAATAACATGATTAAAACTACTAAATTTATGACTATTGTAAGTAAGTAATGTTTATTTATATAGCGCATTTTACAGACCAAGGTCACCCAAAGCGCTTTACAATGTTCAGAGTTCAGATATTGTTCCAATCATTCCACACACGGTGATGACAAAAACGAGACCAGAACACACTGGAACCTCCAATCAACACCATCCATTCACTCTCTCATAAACATTCATACCTATTGTGCATGTCTTTAGTGGTAGGGGAAACCGGAGCACCGGGAGGAAACCTACGCAGACACGGGGAGAACATGCAAACTCCACTCAAAAAAGGCCATGTTCCGACCGGGATTCGAACCTAGGACCTTCTTGCTGAGAAGCGAGGGTGCTATCCACTCAGCCACCTTGCAGCATTGTAAAGCAGTTAACACTAGGACCGCCGCGCTCTAAACATACCTTGCACCGCCCCCTGCGGTCAGTTGACCGCTATGTATTTTGCGCTGATACAGCCTTTTGCCAAATTGATTGTTCACTAAACCAGAACTTGATGTTGCAAAGGAATCGTGATCATAATGAAACTGTGTAAATTATTTGTCTAAATATGCTAAGTAATTGTAATTCTAGCCGAAATAAAAGGCTATAAGACGACACATTGTGCGTGTACTGATCCATCAAAATTACGATGACTTTTCAGGCTAGATTTATTTTGTAACTTTGCAAACACCTAAAAGGTTGGTCACTATATGTTATATTTGACTCAGTAACAATATGTAAATTCAAACAATATAAATGATAGTTTAGAAAAGCACAGGACCATAACGTCTTCGCGCTGCTATATGCGTCTACTTCTTACGTCATCTCCAGACTGTTTTCTCTTTCCAGCCGAAATCACCGTGGGAAATATTATCTAGATAATAATAATATTATTCGTATTGACACAAGATCATCAGCTAGGCTACCATCGTCAATGTAAAATCTTCAATTTTACACGGGACACGTTAGAAAGACAAATATATGTATATATATATTTGTATTTATTTGAGACAAGCAGTGCTCTTTATGCTCAGAACAAAATTATAATCATTGCCTTGCAGTGCGCGCTGTGCAGAATAACACACAGTGTTATCTGGATGAAATAAGAATTATATCCTTATTGATATATGAGGGCCGCTTCTGCCCCACAGTCGCTCTCCTCCTGCAGTGTCCGCGGGTGACGAGCACTCTGATCTGCACTCTGCCTTGATAGTTCATCGAATTGTTCTATTTTATTATGATATTGTATTCTGCTGTATTGCCTTCTTGTATGTATAAATATAATAATGTAATTGATGATGAATGAAAAGGCAGAATGGAGCGACAGCGCGCACACAGACACCTGCGTATGGCATTACGCGGGTCATGTGCGTTATTGCTTCTGGACTTGTTACAACACTGCTGTCTGTGCCGTGAATGCACTATGGGTTTACGTTCAGATTTAGAATATTATAGGTGTTCTCCCCGCTGTCACTTTCTACCTCAAAATGTGACATCTCACCTCCGTCAGACTGTTCTCATTCAATGTCTTGAAGCACTGTCAGCGCTTCATACCGTGTACTTGCAGCTCTATTCATTTTGTACTCCTCTCTCTCTCCCAAATAATAATAAAAAAGTCCCTTTAGAGTCTAATGACAACATATTGATACATTTTTATAAGGCGCGAAAAACCCCCGGGAAAGGTTACTATGACAACAGTCGCCCCTGCGCCATGTATCTCCATGGGGAAGCAGAAAGGGCTGTGGTTTAGAAAAGTTAAAATGCGTGTAAATCTTGTTTTCTTTACTTTTTCCAAAAACCAAAACACACCAAAATATAAACAACAAGTACCTAGAAAAAGTCATAAAATTTCAACTTCTGGCGTTTTGTTTTGAATACACTAATTAGCATAATAAAGTGAGTGACGGTCAGTTGACCGCTAGGGGCGCTCCTAGTGTTAAGCAGAGATAATGGCAGGCATAGTTTTGATCATTCATTCAAACATAATATTTCATAGTGTCCTTTTGAATCCATACCTCAACAAAGCTGGCGTCCCAGAGTTGAGCCTGGATCTTGACCACTGCCTGACCGGAGAAACTGTGCAGCGGACACTGGAACAGCACGCAGCGAGCAGAACCCAGCAGGCAATCCTGACAAATACACATATAACTCAGACTGTTTACAGATGGACAATGCTAACCCGCTAGCTCAATGTAGGCTAAAAGGGGTCCATATGACTTACATGTCAAAGTAAACTCCTCTATCTCAGTAACCATTTGTGTCACACGTTTTGGGATTAAATCTGTGGTTTGGCTCTCTCTGTGATACTGGTGTTTATGGTGTGATCCTGTCTTTGTAAATCCAGATAGAGCCTTATAAGGATTGACCAATCAGACAACTTGCCTTAGCAACTGTGTTCGACCAGAGAGAGAGACCAGAAAGAATCTAGAGAGACCAGAGAGAGACCAGAGAAAAACCAGAGAGAAACCAGAAAGAGAGACCAGCGAAAGACCAGTGAGAGAGACCAAAGAGACCAGAGAGACCAGAGAGAGACCAGAGAGAGACCAGAAAGAGAGACCAGCGAAAGACCAGAGAGAGAGACCAAAGAGACCAGAGAAAGAGACTAGAGAGAGACCAGAGAGATCAGAGTGATATCAAAGAGAATCAAGAGGAACCAAAGAGAATCCAGAGGGAGACCAGCAAGAGACCAGAAAGACCAGAGAGATCAGAGTGAACCAGAGAGACCAGAGAGAGACATGAGTATATTAAGACAATAATGTCACACTCAGACAATACACTCCTAATATTCGCTGCACCAGGTCTAACATTTACTTGAGGTGAAGAATACATTGCGTCCGCACTCTGGTCTGGTCAAATGCAGCTGTGGTTTTCTCACCAGTTTCAGAGACTTGCGTCGCTCTGAAGCCGCCACAGCCGGAGTGGTTCTGGCCCCGTTCCCTTTCACCCTCACTTCTCCCCCGTCCTCTGGGTGAGAGCGCCGAGTCCTCCCCACCTGACACAGGCCACACAACAAGGAAACTTATCTCATCATGTATGAATCAATTAATTTATGTAATTCATGAGTCAACAACAGTATTATGTTTCACAAAAAGAAAAAAAAAAATTACATATCATAAAGGGTAATGAGAAGCAGTTACAGTAATTACCAAAATATAAGCAAAATTGTTAACATCAGCACCGTGTTTTATTTTGGTAGAGTTGGACTGTTGTCAGAACGTTTATGGACTAATTAGAAACGTCTAAGAAGCGAGAGTACTGTTGTGATGAAGAGGGAGCAGCAACTACAGTCAGAGCTCTGGATTCACTGCTCAGTCTCTGTCCCCTTCCTCACACCTCATGAGCTTTGAGTAATAACCAAAAGGAAGAGATTGTGAGTACAAGCGGTCAACATGAGTTTCCTCCAGTTCCCTTCACAAAAGAGGAACTCAGTCACATGGGAGGAGCTCGTAGTAGAGCCGCTGCTTCTCCACGTGGAGAGGAGCCAGTTAAGGTGGCTCGGGCATCTCTTTGGGATGTCTCCCTGGGGAGAAACCAGGAAGGCCTGGGAACGCCTCTGGATTCCCCTGCATGAGATGGAGGAAGTCTGTGGAGAGGGACGTCTTGCCGGATAAATGAATGGATGGGCTCAGAGCTGATTGGCTGAATAAGACTGGTCCTTTTCTTACTGATAAAGCTGATCTAAAGATGTGGCAGGGGCCAACATCACATGAAACCCAGTGATAAAAGCAACTGTTTTAAAGACATGGATGGTACAATGATCCAGTATCGTAGTCTGAGGCTCGGGTCTTCTCACTGTGTTCACCTTGTTGTCTTGGGGCTGAGGTTGGGGCTGAGGTTGGGGCTGAGGTTGTGCTGAGGCGGGGAGCTGCAGGGGGTTCACGGCTCCTCTCCCGCTGCACTGCTGTCCCTCAAACTTCAGACTGGACGGGTACAGTAACCACTTCCCATTGGACAGTTCATGAGGAAACATGATGTTGAGGAACGCTGAGCCCAGAGTCTGTAAGGGCTGGCCAGGGTTCAGGACCTGAGGAGGGAAGAACAGGGTTTAGGTCATGGAGCTGGATTTTAACAATCCTAATTAGTAGCTTTCAAATCTTATTGGTATATTTATATAGAGAACAGAGAGAGAGCAGCGATAGAACAGAGAGAACCCTGAGAACCCAGAGAGAGACCAGAGAGAGAACAAAGATAGACCAGAGGGAGACAAGAGAGATCAGACAAACCAGAAAGAGACCTGAAAGAGACCTGAGAGACTAGGTAGAGACCAGAAAGACCAGAGAGAAAGACCAGAGAGAGATCAGAAAGAGACCCAACGCATTATGTTTATAACAGATACTAACCACAAACTCAAATTCCACAGGGCTGCCAATCTCCTCCAGACTGCTCATGGCACTCTCCCCTCTCACTGGTCCACTGAAGAAGAGCTGGTGCGGGTTCACCACGCTGAGGAACACCAGAGGATTATCAGACTGATGTCAAATGGTCTCTGCGGCTGCTCCTCAAACACGTCCTGCTACTCACCCACTCACAGACAGAGGGAGCTCTATCACCACTTTGGCCAAAGCAGTTACTGGCACCAAGTCCGACTGTTCACTGATGCTGTGGACAGAAAAGATGAAACTACAGTAAAATACTTATTGTTTAAAGAAAAATGATGCCTTTAAAGGTATTTAATCTAAACACTTTAAATAACAGAGTTAATATTTATAATAATGCATCATTTGCATATACAACTGTCTCTATTGACTGTTCTGAGTCCTGTTTCCTATGAGAGGGACCAGAGAGAGACACCAGAGAGAGACTAGAGAGAGACTAGAGAGAGAGACCAGAGAGAGTAGAGGGAGACTTAAGAGAGACCAGAAAGAGACCAGAGAGAGTAGAGGGAGACTTAAGAGAGACCAGAAAGAAACCAGAGAGAAAGAGACAAGAGAGAGGCCGGAGAGAGACCAGAAAGAGACCAGAGAGAAAGAGACAAGAGAGAGGCCAGAGAGAGACCAGAAAGAGACCAGAGAGAAAGAGACAAGAGAGAGGCCGGAGAGAGACCAGAAAGAGACCAGAGAGAAAGAGACAAGAGAGAGGCCGGAGAGAGACCAGAAAGAGACCAGAGAGAAAGAGACAAGAGAGAGGCCGGAGAGAGACCAGAAAGAGACCAGAGAGAAAGAGACAAGAGAGAGGCCGGAGAAAGACCAGAAAGAGACCAGAGAGAAAGAGACAAGAGAGAGGCCGGAGAGAGACCAGAAAGAGACCAGAGAGAAAGAGACAAGAGAGAGGCCAGAGAGAGACCAGAAAGAGACCAGAGAGAAAGAGACAAGAGAGAGGCCAGAGAGAGACCAGAAAGAGACCAGAGAGAAAGAGACAAGAGAGAGGCCAGAGAGAGACCTGACATAGAGACTATAGAGACACCAGAGAGAGAGATACACAGAGAGAGCCAGACATAGAGACTATAGAGAGACGAGAAAGAGAGGCATGAGAGAGAGAGAGAGAGAGAGAGAGAGAGAGAGAGAGGGACCAGAGAGAGAGACTAGAGAGTGAACAGAGAGAGAGACCAGAGAGAGAGGCCAGAGAGAGACCAGAGAGAGAGACCATATAGAGACCCATTCACAAATGATAAAAACAGCAGCTCACGTGGAAAGGAGCAGATCAGCCGTGAGCTGTGTGGTCTCTATGGTGATGTTGGCTGTGCTCAAACTGAAGGAGAATTTCATCTGTCGGTCAAAGAAAGGTTTGTGTCAGAAACATATTTTGAAGATACAAACATAGGAGGGATGTGTGTTTATTCAAGACACACCTGGCTGTTTCTTTTGACAGGATTTCCCAGGTCACACTCCACCTGAGAGCCGTTCTGATTGGCCTGGCAGCGAATCTGGAAACAGACACAGAACTTTACCATGTCCAGAGAGAAATCAGAGAGAGACCAGAGTAGGGCTGAAACAACTAATCGATTAATCGACGACTAATCGATTATTGAAATAGTCGACAACTATTTTAGTAATCGATTAATCGTTTTCTGGTTCACACGGACTCAAACAGAGCAAAAATGACATGAAAATGTAGTATTTTTGATTAAAACCGACTTTGTCATCCAATCAGATAGCAGAATTAGCACAAAGAGCCTGTTACAAACATTTACTTTAAGTTTGCGCCATCAATACGTCCTCGAGTGTTGCCACTTTAGCTTTTTGTGATGAAAAAATATTTTTTTTCTACACAATTCACAGCCAAGCGATTACTCGATTAATCGTAAAAATAATCGATAGATAAATCAATTACAAAATAATCGTTAGTTGCAGCTCTAGACCAGAGAGATGCCAGAGAGAGCCTAGACAGAGACAATAGAGAGAGAGAGAGCAGAGAGAGAGCAGAGAGAGACCAGAGAGATAACAGAGAGAGACCAGACAGACACCATAGAGAGAGAGAGAGCAAGCAGAGAGAGACCAGAGAGATGCCAGAGAGATACTACATAGAGACTAGAGTTTCGCTTTTCAGCCCGAGCCCGAGCAGGCCCGAGGCCCGACCTGAGTTTGGGCCGGGCTCGGGCCTCATTTGGCGCTCAGCTGTCGGGTTCGTGCCGGGCTCGGGCTTCTTTTTTTAAATATATGTTTCTTTTTTATTATTATTATAATTATTTTTAAATGATTTTTATACATAATGATATGCATATATATATATATATATATATATTAATAACAATGTCCGTTGATTGACAACAAGTTATTAAAAATAGTTAATATATTAATGACACCGTAACCAGTGTGTCCTACAGCAGCAGCGAGCCGTGAACGCATCATCCCCGTGTCTCCTGCTGCATGCTGTGGTCAACAGCGAACAGGAACAAGTAGAAATGGATCAAGTGGAGACAAAACAAATTCAAAAGTGGAGACAAAACAAATTCAAAAGTGGAGACTAAACTTGCAATTGGAAGGTGAGTGCGTACAACGGGAAATCAGATGTGTCGGGTTCTGTCGGGCTCGGGTCTGTTATACAGCGTTCATTGGTCGGGCTTATACGGGCTCGGGCTTAACATTAGCGGGCTCGGGCTTCATTTTTCAGGCCCGAACGAAACTCTAATAGAGACCACAGAGAGAGATCAGACAAAGACCAGAGAGAGAGAGAGAGAGAGAGAGAGAGAGAGAGAGAGAGAGAGAGAGAGAGCAGAAAGAGACTAGAGAGAGATCAGACAGAGACTAGAGAGGGAGAGAGCAGAGAGAGAGAGAGAGTTGAAGCAAACACCTTGTTTCCTATGGGAGGGACCAGAGAGAGTATAGAGGGAAACTAAAAAGAGACCAGAAAGAGACCAGAGAAAAAGAGACAAGAGAGAGACCAGACAGAGACTAGAGAGAGAGAGAGCAGAGAGAGGCCAGACAGAGACTAGAGAGAGAGAGAGCAGAGAGAGGCCAGACAGATGCAGAGAGAGGGACCAAAGATACCAGAGAAAGATCAGAGAGAGAGAGAGAGAGAGTTGACGCAAACATGATTTCGTATGAGAGGGACCAGAGAGAGAGACCAGAGAGAGTAGAGAGGGAAAAAAACTAAAAAGAGACCAGAAAGAGACCAGAAGCAAACCCCTTGTGCCATTTGTTTTCGAGAAATTTACACCTGTGAATAAAGATTGACCCTGGGGTGTAGTAGCAGCAGTTACCTGAGGGGGCAGTCTGGAGCCGGCATACGACAGAGTGTCCGGCAGCGTGATGAGGAGCTGTGTGGCGTGAGCATCGTCTCCGTCCTCCTCCGGGTTCAGAGCGTCAGACGGGAGGTTCGTGACCGTCAGCTCCAGAACGACGAGCCGCTGGTCCGAGAGAGAGAAGACCTGCACCTCCTCTTCATCGCTGACCACACGGACGCAAACAAGCAGAATATTACACACACAGGAGAATTAGAAGTTATTTTAAAGGTTTTAGAAGAGATGCAAATGCAAATAGCAAAGGCTTTAGAGGATTGGAGTGTCAGTATTGAATCGTTTGGTCAATGGTGTCTTTATTTGTGTAAGAGTGAGATACAGTGGTCCCTGGTTTATCGCAGGGGTGATGTGTTCTACAACTAACCAACAATAAGTTGAATAGTAGCATTTATATGTTTTTTGGGTGTAAAACTCATGTCTCTTTTTCTTGTCCTTCTCTGGTCTCTCTTTCTGGTCTCTTATCTCTCCGGTGTTTCTCTGGTCTCTCTCTCTGGTCTCTCTCTCTGGTCTCTTGTCTCTCTGAACTCTCTCTCTCTGCTCTCTTTCTGGTGTTTCTCTGGTCTCACTCTCTGGTCTCACTCTCTGGTCTCTCTCTCTAGTCTCTCTCTCTGGTCTCTCTCTCTGGTCTCTCTCTCTGGTCTCTCTCTCTGGTCTCTCTCTCTCTCTCTGGTCTCAATCTCTGCTCTCTCTCTCTCTCTCTGCTCTCTTTCTGGTGTTTCTCTGGTCTCACTCTCTGGTCTCACTCTCTGGTCTCACTCTCTGGTCTCACTCTCTGGTCTCTCTCTCTCTCTGGTCTCACTCTCTCTCTCTGGTCTCACTCTCTCTCTCTGGTCTCACTCTCTGGTCTCACTCTCTGGTCTCTCTCTCTCTGGTCTCACACTCTGGTCTCTCTCTCTGGTCTCTCTCTCTGGTCTCTCTCTCTGGTCTCTCTCTCTCTCTCTGGTCTCAATCTCTGCTCTCTCTCTCTCTCTCTCTGCTCTCTTTCTGGTGTTTCTCTGGTCTCACTCTCTGGTCTCACTCTCTGGTCTCACTCTCTGGTCTCTCTCTCTGGTCTCTCTCTCTCTCTCTCTGGTCTCTCTTTCTCTCTGGTCTCACTCTCTCTCTCTGGTCTCACTCTCTCTCTGGTCTCACTCTCTCTCTCTGGTCTCACTCTCTGGTCTCACTCTCTGGTCTCTCTCTCTGGTCTCACACTCTGGTCTCTCTCTCTGGTCTCTCTCTCTGGTCTCTCTCTCTGGTCTCAATCTCTGCACTCTCTCTCTCTCTCTGGTCTTACTGTGGTCTCACTCTCTGATCTCAGTCTCTGGTCTCACTCTCTGGTCTCTCTCTCTCTCTCTGGTCTCACTCTGCGCTCTCTCTGCGCTCTCTCTCTGGTCCTCTCTTTTTAACTTTTCTGTCTGAAAAAGCTGAGCTAAAGATGTGACAGAGGCCACAAACACGTTCAGCTTTTATCATGTAGCTTTTATGGGTTGAAAGTTAGATACCCCAGCTTTAACTCGAGGACACTAAATCATGTCTGTATGGGGAAGAGTGTTTTGTTGCCACAGTGTCTGACCGTGGCAAAGGCGTGAAGAGGTCGGAGGTCAGAGGTCGTGTTCCAAACTGGTAGCTGAGCCTCAGGTTGCTCTGACAGATCCGGTCGCTGCCACAGCCTTCACGCAGAAAGTTTATCTGAGAGAGAGAGAGAGAGAAATAATAATAATAATGAACTGTTGCTTAGACTGCTGCTCCTGCCACCCTGCAACGGATACAGCGGAAGAAAATGGAAGGAGTTGTGTTTGAAGGCCTCAACAAAAAGTCAGAGACCAAACAGGAACCTATAAAAATAGAGACGAGAGAGAGAGTTCAGAGGGACCAGAGAGAGACAAGAGAGTTCAGAGGGACCAGAGAGACCACAGATATTAGAGAGAGAGACCTGAGACCAGAACGAGAGACAAGAGGGAGAGCAGGGAGAGAGAGAGACCAGAGAGGGACTAGAGAGAGACCAGAAATATCAATGAGAAAGACCAGAGAGAGAGTGACCTGAGACCACAACGAGAGACAAGAAGTAGAGAAGGGAGAGAGAGACCAGAGAGGAGAAAGAACCTCATCCACAACCACCACAAAAGACTCCAAACTGTCGTAGATCCTGGAGTTTATATTGTCACATTGTCTTTGTAAATCCAGATATGAGCCACATAAGGATTGACCAATCAGATACTCCAGCTTGCCTTAGCAACCGTCATAGCAACACGTCTGCCTTTGTTACGGTGGGAAGCTAATGCCATCAGAACAAATTTCCATAGAAGAAAATTTGCTCCTGCTCGCTCATGTTGAAATCGGCCTGCTCTGTATGCTAACACTATGGTGATGTCACACTTGGTCAGTCCACTCCTGGTATCCGCAGTAGATACTATAGCCACCGCTATTGAGCAAGTGGTGAAAAGGTGGTACTGCACCTGAACTCCTAGGAGCGCTATTGAGCAAGTGGTGAAAGGTGTTACTGCACTGTATTTTCCAAGAGGTGTCACTTTGAATGTTTAATGAGTTGCCCTCTGTTGACCCCAGTGTGTATGTGTGCTTCACAGTTGTCTAAAGTGATTTATTGAACAGAGCTTAGCGTAACACCTGCGTAGGGTTACACCGTGTTCATTCTAAAAAACAAACAGTGATGCCCTAGTTAGGGAAGACGTGGTAATAGCTAATCAAGCTGCAGGGGAGGACCTACCACAGGCCTATCAACCTACAGCAAACAGTGTAAGCGAATCATGATGAAGGGGTGGGAGGGTGTACTAACAGCGAATCATGATGAAGGGGTTTGGAGGGAGGATGGACCTACTACGTCCAATCAGGGTGATACATGTAGTACCATGTGATGAAAAGGTGGTATGGCGCCCTATTTTCCAATAGGTAACACTTGAGTGAAGCAGATCCCTTTCTCAAACTATGGGTCTCCCTGAGGTTTCGCACTTTTTTCATATGAGTTTTTCCTTGCTGATGCAGGATGGGTTTGTTGCACAGTTAGTGAGAAACTAGAAGGACTGTGGTGATGATCCAGGACACTTTAATATTCTACAACATGCACGGGTCTATATTCTTTATGTGTTCTAACTGTTGATTCTCCGATCTGTGTTGGTGATTTTCAGTAGTTTTTTGGTAAGTCCTCTGAGATGACTCCAGTTGTGATTTAGGGCTATACAAGAATAAATTGTATTGTATTGTATAGGTGTTTTTTTTTTTATTTTCTGCAACAAGTGGTACTGCACCCGAACTCTGAAAGAGCGACACTTAGGTGTGTGTGTGATAGCCTTATCATGTGGCCCTGAGTGTTGCACTAAAACAATAGGGGGATAGTTGTTATTTTTTCACGGAGATGGGCGCAGGGTTCCAACTGGTACACCAGTATGAACGATCCGTCTGAAACTCACCTGATGACAAAGGTTCCGTGGAGCAAAAACACATATATTTTTAGTGGCGTTTATCAATCGTAATTAATGCGTTATAATCCTAACCCTAATCAAAAAGGTAGCAGTCTCTATATCAATTTAATTGTCCAATACAATAAAAATAAGAACCCTATATACATATATGTACACAGTTTGAAACAGAGTAGGTAGATGTGAAACTAGGGTCCTTGGTACAGGTTTTCTTTTTACAGGAGATCAAATGATTTAAAGGCGTACATCTCTCAGATATACAATTGACACTCGTTACCATAAATAGTCATCTTAAAGACTGATTAAACACCCATATTACATACCTTAAACATTATGTGCAACATTTTACCAAAACACAAACCATTAATTAAACATTATGTACAACATTTTACCAAAACACAAACCATTAATTAAAATCCAGATTTTCTTATTATGTAACACTCTCATATTTATTGAGTATAGTAGTTTTGTTTCTTAAAAACCATGATTTTTTATTTTGACTCTTTAATGTCTTTATTAAGTTCCACAAGTTGATTCCTTTCCACTGAGACCATTCTTCCCATGAATTTATTTCTGAATCTAGGTTTTATTAAAGATGTCAGTTACTTACAGATTGTATCGACATTGTCTTTTTTTTCCCCAAAGTTCTCTTAGATGTTTTCTGCTAATGTTTTGCAATTTACCTTATACAATGTATGATAAATAGTAAAATCCACTATAACATACAATTTTAACACCAAGCACTCAAAAACAGGATTTGATGAATCCCGATATATTTTCCTTCTGGTCTTTTTTTATGTAAAATAACTATAGGCAGTGTATGTGTTTTAAACGTTGTCTCCAAATGTTGACAACATAGGTGAGGTCGGTATAACCAGTGTATTATCTAAGGTCAGTAATGCTGAGTGGTTTGGAAAGTGTAAAACACCAAGTGATTTGGCTAATTTTCCTTTTGTACAGTGTCTGTGAGATTTCCAGCTCAGATCCTCAACGATGATGACTCCCAAAAATGTTGTTTCTTTTACCCTTTTGAATTTCCTCCGTCTAGTCTTATCAACACACTATTTAAGATTTTTTTCTTTTTAGCATTGAATAGCATGTATTCGTTTTTCTTTGTTTAGAGCAAAGTCATTTGAGCCAACCAGATTTTTATTATGACAAGTTCTTTGTTTATTACTTTTTGATAACTCTCCAATATTTTTTCCACAACAAAATAATGCTGTGACACCAGCAAATAAGATTATTTGTAATATAGTTGTCATGTTTACAAGTTTAAAGACACAATTCAATCATTTATAAGTTTTAAAATGCAACATGTTCTTAAATGCTATGTAATAAGTTACATTTAAAAACAAAGATTCCCTTTTCCATGGAAAATGAAGACAGGGTGAAATCCGAGGCACTCTGATAAAAGTCCTTTAACAGAGAAGGGACCAACGTGTTTGGGCCCCGCAGGGCCTTCTTCAGCCCAGTGTGATAATAAGCTATAGTTGTTTGTTGTGATAAAATATAAGGGGAAACAAAGTAAGACATCAGTTTCCTGGTCGAGCAGAGTAAGCGCTCTTGTTTGGTTTGTTTTTGTAACAATCTTTGTTTCATGTGTTGAGCCTTGGCAAACTTTCGTCTTTGTAAGTATTATTTAATCTCACAAGCACATTGTTAGGACCCCAAAAGTGTTTTATTCTACTGCAAAGTGTTAAGTTTGGGCTATATCTGATTAGCTAGCGCTGTACGCAATTCCGTGTGCACAACCGTTGATAGTTTTTCTAGTGTTGCAGTTACGGTGATTTTTTTTATATTTTGTATTTATGGATGCAATGAACCATACGCAAGAGATTCTCTATGAAACAAGAAAAGTAAGCCTTGTCTACAGAGTTTCTTTCCCGTTCGCTCCAACTTCACATGGGCACGTATCGTGAGGACAGCACAATAGTTGATACTTTTGGAAAGTCATTCATACAAACAATATAGGTATTGAGTAATTTATTATTTTTACAATTTAGCTGCACAAACTGTTTACGATTTTCTAGATAACTAGAGATCCATGTATGAGCAAGCCTTTTGCAGGTCTAGTAAGATACTTACAACATATGTATCTGCATATTTTCTCTGTCAGTTCCATTATTCCCACAGCAGTTGAGTGTTTTTTCCTAAAGCCATACTCATTTTGAATTAACACATTTACTTTTGTAAGAAGCTATCCACTCACATTGCAAATACCACAGTTTTCAAAAATCTTGAAAAAAGTAACAAAGACACGGGTCAAGAATTTGAGAAGTTGTGTTTGTTTCTGTAAAGAGGTATAATTTGGTTGTTTTCATTTTTTTCAGGAAAAGGTTCATGTTTTTAGTGACAAGTTGCAAAGGTATGTAAAAAGGTTCAATTACAGATGCATCATGTCTGAGCCAGAGTCGGTTGTTTACAAATGTATTCACAATTTTTCATACTTTGTCTTTTTCCATATTGGAAAGAAAAATACTGTTCACAGGATCTACCTTTGTATTTCACTGCTAGATGTTGGCTTTGGAAATTTTCTTTTTCTTTCGAGTCTCCTACACGAGTAAAGTATCTACAAAATTCATTTGATATATTTATTTTATTGGATATTTCTGCCTTTGACAAAATAATTTGTGTACTCATGTGTGATTTTGTTGTTCCTCATGACATTATTTAAAATTCTCCAAGTAGCTCGTTCTCATTTAGTGTATCACTAATGAAAATAGAAGACAAAAGAACAAAAGGTACAACAAGCACCCACATACGAAAAAATAACTGATACAATAAAATAAGACCTCCACAGATATGAAGTGACACTTTCCCACAGTGCCACAGATATGAACACTATATTGAATAACATATCATGGAGATATAGGATCACAGTCATTTATAAATAGTCCTCAGGTCATTTGTTACATTTAGATTTTCTACAATGTCTTTGTATGATCCCACATTTGTTTCAAATATTGCTAGCTTTCCTTTTCTAAAACATGTAACTCTTTCAAGGGGAAATGCTATCAGCATTTTTATTTTACCCAAAGCATCAGCTTGAACTTTTTTTTTCCACTAAATTGCAATTGTTCTCTTTGCTTGTAAAAGACACATATCTATCAGTACTTTTTTCATTCTTTGTAAACGCATGTTTTCCAGGAAGGATTCCTAAATAAAAAGTGTATATCCTTAGATATAGTGGTCTCTACTGCTCCTTTAACCTCAGGACACCCCCACACACAGTGGAACAATGTCCCTTTAGCACCTAGTTCATACATCAGTACATTTACTCCCTTTAGCACCATCCTCACCTCCTCCGTCACCGTGTGGTTCGCTGGAGCCACAGTCAGGGACAAACAGAGACTACAGCGCATTGTGCGCTCTGCAGAGGAAGTGATCGGCCGCAGCCTTCCATCGCTGCAGGACCTGTACGTCGCCCGAGCTCGAGGCCGGGCTGGTCGTATCACAGCCGACCCCTCTCACCCTGCACATGGACTATTCCAACCACTCCCCTCAGGCAGGAGGCTGCGGTCCATCAGGACTAAAACCTCCCGCCACAAGAACAGTTTCTTCCCCTCTGCTGTTGGACTCTTGAACACTTCTTAACCTGTCCCCCCGCCCTTTTAAAGTCACTTTACTGCCCATCATACGTCACTTTACTTCACTGTACTGCTGTCACCTTACATTGTGTGCACCATGTGCACTTGTATATTGTAAATAGTAACTGTAACTCTATTTTAAATTTAAATTTATTCTTTAGAAGTGTTTTTTATTCTTATTTTTATTATCTCTTTTTGACTGTTGCACTGAGCCAAAGCAATTTCCAAGTCTGTGACCTCCTGTTACTTACGTTGGCAATAAAAATGATTCTGATTCTGATTCTGATTCTGATTCTTTTGGTCAAATGTTGTACATAATGTTTAATTAATGGTTTCTGTTTTGGTAAAATGTTGCACATAATGTTTAAGGTATGTAATATGGGTGTTTAATCAGTCTTTAAGATGACTATTTATGGTAACGAGTGTCAATTGTATATCTGAGAGATGTACGCCTTTAAATCATTTGATCTCCTGTAAAAAGAAAACCTGTACCAAGGACCCTAGTTTCACATCTACCTACTCTGTTTCAAACTGTGTACATATATGTATATAGGGTTCTTATTTTTATTGTATTGGACAATTAAATTGATATAGAGACTGCTACCTTATGATTAGGATTAGGATTCCATCCATCCATCCATTTTCTACCCTTTAATCCATTTCTGGGTCAGGGGGGTGGCAGTCAGAGATGCCACCCAAGTCTCATAGCACCAGCCCCTCACTGACCCTCTGCAGGTGGTGAGTCCACAGGAGGACGGCTGCTCTCTGAGTGTGAGCATAGCCTTGATCTTCCAGCGGGGGCTTTGGGCAAAGTGGGGTTCAGTGTCTTGCCCAAGGACACAACGACAGCAGTCATCAGTGGGAGTCAGTGGAGATGGTGCAGAGGTGTGGGAATTGAACCCACGACCTTCTGGCCTTAAGGCCAATGCTCTACCAACTGAGCTACTGTCGCCCCCAGGGGCCCCCAGGGGCGACAGTAGGGTTAGGATTATAACGCATTAATTACGATTGATAAACGCCACTAAAAATATATGTGTTTTTGCTCCACGGAACCTTTGTCATCAGGTGAGTTTCAGACGGATCGTTCATACTGGTGTACCAGTTGGAACCCTGCGCCCATCTCCGTGAAAAAATAACAACTATCCCCCTATTGTTTTAGTGCAACACTCAGGGCCACATGATAAGGCTATCACACACACACCTAAGTGTCGCTCTTTCAGAGTTCGGGTGCAGTACCACTTGTTGCAGAAAATAAAATAAAAACACCTATACAATACAATACAATTTATTCTTGTATAGCCCTAAATCACAACTGGAGTCATCTCAGAGGACTTACCAAAAAACTACTGAAAATCACCAACACAGATCGGAGAATCAACAGTTAGAACACATAAAGAATATAGACCCGTGCATGTTGTAGAATATTAAAGTGTCCTGGATCATCACCACAGTCCTTCTAGTTTCTCACTAACTGTGCAACAAACCCTTCCTGCATCAGCAAGGAAAAACTCATATGAAAAAAGTGCGAAACCTCAGGGAGACCCATAGTTTGAGAAAGGGATCTGCTTCACTCAAGTGTTACCTATTGGAAAATAGGGCGCCATACCACCTTTTCATCACATGGTACTACATGTATCACCCTGATTGGACGTAGTAGGTCCATCCTCCCCTCCAACCCCTTCATCATGATTCGCTGTTAGTACACCCTCCCACCCCTTCATCATGATTCGCTTACACTGTTTGCTGTAGGTTGATAGGCCTGTGGTAGGTCCTCCCCCTGCAGCTTGATTAGCTATTACCACGTCTTCCCTAACTAGGGCATCACTGTTTGTTTTTTAGAATGAACACGGTGTAACCCTACGCAGGTGTTACGCTAAGCTCTGTTCAATAAATCACTTTAGACAACTGTGAAGCACACATACACACTGGGGTCAACAGAGGGCAACTCATTAAACATTCAAAGTGACACCTCTTGGAAAATACAGTGCAGTAACACCTTTCACCACTTGCTCAATAGCGCTCCTAGGAGTTCAGGTGCAGTACCACCTTTTCACCACTTGCTCAATAGCGGTGGCTATAGTATCTACTATCCGCTCTCTGGTCCCACCTCAGAGTGCAGTGTGTTGGAGGGAGACACGTTCAGGACAGGAGGAAGCTTCTCCAGTCTCTTGTTTCCGGAGTTCCGTCGCGGCGGCACTGGTTTGATGGTGTGAGTGATCGCCAACGAGATCGGCCGCAGTTTGTCTCGAAGGTTCTCCTGAAAAAACAACAAAAGGTGAGCATTGTATTTATTTATTTCAATTGTGGATATGATAAAATTTTACAACTACATTTCAAATAATTGCAGTCCTGTCAAACAAATGAAAAGAAGCAGAAAGAAAACGATTACAACTCTAATCTTCTTTTCTAATCTACTGTTAACATGGTGCCCTGTTGTCTGTTCATTGCTATCAACCGCTGTCCCATTGACTATTTCATGGGGTGATGATTGGACAACTGTGAATTGGTGTCCTCCCGCCCAGACCCTCCAGCCCAGACATCCCGCCTACAGTCTCAGTCCTGGATCTACAGTCTCGGTCCTGAATCTACAGCCTCAGTCCTGGATCTACAGTCTCAGTCCTGGATCTACAGTCTCGGTCCTGAATCTACAGCCTCAGTCCTGGATCTACAGTCTCAGTCCTGGATCTACAGTCTCGGTCCTGAATCTACAGCCTCAGTCCTGGATTTACAGCCTCCGTCCTGGATCTGCAGCCTCAGTCATGGAGCAGATTCCTCTAGTCTAGTATGTTTGCTTTAAAACACCTTTGCAGAAATGAAAACCCTGGATCTTTCTCCTCCCACATAACCCCAGAGAAGGGACTGACGTGCAGCTGGAAGGTGGCGGTGGTGCACACGTGGTGGCGCTGTCGGCTCATCTCCACCTCCTCCGTCTGCGTGAACTCCGCCTCCAGTGAACTCCGACCCAGGAAATTCACTCTGTGCGGGAGCCCCAACTTCCTCCGCTCCGTGTCAGCCTCAAAATGCACCACGAGAGCTTTGGGAACACACAAGGAGAAAGTGTTTTTACAAGAACATTTGCAGCTGTCTCTATATATTCAAACTTCTTCATACTCTTTACAAAGCAATATTCAAGAACGAAAACCCAAGTCTGGCTCCTCACTTGGATTTTAATTAGAATCCAGACAGAATCCAAATAGGACAAAATTCAACTAATTATAAAAACCATAGCCTCGACATGACCAGCTACCTGACTATTGTATGACATCACAGCTACTACAAAATTGTGAAACTAAAGCTGAGATTCAGTCTGGAAGACAGAAGAACTAATCTAAAAGCTCAGACCTTCGTTAGCATCAGTCAGTCACACTCAGCCCCAGCCCCACTCCTCCCCCAGCAACAGAAAAGCATTTCCCTGCATCAAGCCTTCATATCGCACAGAAAGCTTTCATTCATGCAGCAACCCTCCTCCTCGCCATCACCCCCTGATTGGCCAGACCAGCTCTTTCACCCTTCTCCTAGCTCCCACCACCAGAGTCTAGGCCGCCCTGAAAGAGGGCTGTGAGCTGCCTGTTCTGAAGACTCTTCATGAATCCAGACTATTAAAGCTCCACTGACTTTGAGAAATTTTCGAATGAGAGCGCTGGGCTCGCTCTTGATGCTCGCCCTCCCCGCACGGAGCTTTCGCCCCCCACTACCCCCTCCCCCTCAGCCTGTAGAACGATAGAACCGGAAAGCGCGGAGAGGACTAGACTTTCTTCTGGATGGCTGTTTCGCTGTGTAAGCAGAAACCGGTAACGAAGACACTGGAAGTTTCAGGTCTGCCTCCGCCGCTTGTTTACCTCAGCTGTCTCTGCTAACGAGAGACCTGTGGCTTTTCTCAAGAAAGTGGGGGCCAGTGGTCCGCTGTGATTGGTCACAATCGGGACCTGAAACACATTCTCTTCCTTGTTGCACCTGAGATGTATATAGACTAACAGCTTCTTTCCACAAGCTGTTATCAGTTTGAACAGAGCGCTGTAATTATCTTGGATTATTATTGAATATGTTGTTGTTTTTGCAGTGACAATATATCAAATTCAAATATAACCAGTGTTTTGTGTGTTCGTGATCTCCAGATTGAAATGTTACGGAAGTAAGCTTATGTTCAAATCGGCCTCTTCCGCACTATGGTGATGTCACGCTTGGTCAGTCCATTCTTAATGTAAGCTCTATGCTCGTAACATAAGGAAAGTCTTACTGATGTGGGGGTTGTAGTGCTCTGGGTGAGCTGTAAACAGGAAGCAAGCCTTCACGTCCACGCTGCAACAGAATACACAGGGGCTATTATTATCATCCATTATCAATTTGTGCAAAGACAAAAACATTCACAATAGTTCTACACTGTCTATAATCATATTTGAAAGAATCAGTAGGTACTCTGTAACTTCTAAATCTTTCAAGAAGGCCGCTGTCAATGGCAGCCTCAGTCCTGGATCTACAACCTCAGTCCTGGATCTACAGTCTATCCGTCCTCTCTCAATATGGGCCTCCCAAAGGTTTTTAAATGTTTTTTCCCACTAGGTTGAGTGGTTCCTCTCTGATGCAGGAGGATCTAAGGACAGTGATGATCCGAGACATTTCTGCACATTTAGCAACATTTCTAGACAAAAGTCATCCCGCTCCCTTTGGACCAATGGCTGCTATGTGTTTGTTGTTCTTGAATTTCATGTCTTTGAACTATTTAATCATCTGATCTGTTGCTTGCAAATCCAGAACTTTATAAAGTCCTCCGAGACAAATGCTGTTGTGATTTGGGGCAATACATGAAAATATTGAATTGTAAATTGAAATAATCCTGTTAACATGTTTCTCTCCGGGTATGGCCTCACCAGACCCCGTTGCGGCCCTTGCAGTTCTGTTGACCCAGGTCGATGTATTGAGGGTCAATGACGAGTTCTCGAGCCACGTGGATGACGGGACGAGACCTGCAACAAAACATCAGCAGTTACAGGACTCTCAAGACTGTAAAGGTGTGGCCAGAGTGTGTATCTGAATTTGTATTTGTGATCTCCAGAGCTGATGACGGAGCAGACATTCCTGCTTTAGTGTGTTTATGTGAACAGCAGAGAGAGACAAGGACAAGTAGAGACCAGAGAGCGAGACCAGAGAGAGACCGAGTTGAGAGAGGGAGCAGAGAGAGAGAGCAGAGAGAGAAAGACCAGAGTGAGAGGCCAAAGTGAAAGACCAGAGAGAGACCAGAAAGAGAGACAAGAGAGCAGAGAGAGAGATCAGAGAGGGAAAGACCAGAGAGAGAGAGACCAGAGAGTGAGAGAGCAGAGAGAGATACCAGAGAGGGAGGGAGCAGAGAGAGAGAGCAGAGAGAGAGACCAGAGACCAGAGAGCAGAGAGAGAGACCAGAGAGGGAGAGAGCAGAGAGAGAGACAAGAGAGGGAGAGAGCAGAGAGAGAGAGAGAAGAAAGGGAAAGACCAGAGAGAGAGGCCAGAGAGAGAGAGAATAGAGTTGAGTAAAAGTAGAGAAAAGAAGAGGTGGTGGAAACGGGGCTTTGGTTTCCAATGGTCTGGAACAATCTTCTTGAAAATGTGAGACCGGCATCTACACTGACAATGTTCAAATCCAGGTTAAACAGTTCACTTTCTCTGAAAGGATTCTATCTTCACTCTTTTTAATGTACTTTGATCTTTCATGATTTGAATTCCTTGTGTGATTTTAAAGTTTCTGTCTTGTTTTGTGAAGCACTTTGAGTTGCCTTCTCTATGAACTGTGCCATACAAATAACTTGCCTTGCCAATAATAACTGTAGGAGGCAGAAGCAGCTCTGCACACACCACTGTGATAGTACCCTCCTCCATCTCTCATTTCTCTAAACCTTATCTTGACTGTGTCCGATACAGAAGGAGAGATGTTCCTCCCACATCATCGACAATTTTCTCGCTCTGTAAAAAAGGAATAGGTTGGACTTTTCTGTGTTTGTGCTTCGTCACCTGAAGAGGACCAGAGAGTCGTTCAGAGAGCCCACGGCGAGGTCTGGGTAGTGGTTGTGGTCCACGTCCAAACCCCCAGAGATGGAGTACCCAAAGCGTCTCACGTCAAAGTCACGGCCGTCCAGCACCTGCAAACACAACATTAATAATCTTATCTAACTCATCTCATATGTGGAAATCCATTTTAGACAGACGAGAAGGTTGTGCTGTTTTCTGAGATCCAGAGATAGAAGAGAGACGAGAGAGAGAGAGAGAGAGAGAGAGAGAGAGAGAGAGAGAGAGAGAGAGAGAGAGAGAGAGAGAGAGAGAGAGCGAGCAAAGAAACAGGCCAGAGAGAGAGAGACAAGAGAGAGACCAGAGAGACGAGAAAGAGAGATTGGAGGGAGGGACCAGAGAGAGACCAGAGAGGGGCCAGAGAGAGACTAGAGAGAATCCAGAGAGAGACCAGAGAGAGACCATAGAGAATCTAGAGAGAGACCAGAAAGACAAGAGAGAGAGAGAAAGACCATAAAGGAAGACCAGAAAGAGAAACTAGAGCAAGAGACCAGAGAGAGAGACCAGAGAGAGAGACCAGAGACAGACAAGAGAGAGAAAGACCAGAGTGCACCTGCAAACACAACATATGATCAGTAATTCTTATGACAAAATTCAAGGAGATACTGTAAATGAGGCTAAAAATACTTATTTAACTGTATCGTTCAAAAAGCTTGAAATAAGTTGTGGCTTTAGTCCAGCGAGTACTGTAGTCTAATTCGAAAAAATCCATGATGTCAGAGTCTGAGGATTTATTGCTGCTTATCAAGCCTAAAAGCAGCTCTTAGAGAGATGGGTGAGCCAGAGGTCTATGGGATTAGCATGGACGAAGCAAAAAAACAACTCCAGGTCTGTTTTTGAATACAGGTACCAATGTTGAAAAATCATTGAAGGCTTGCTTGATTACCCTTCTTTAAAACAGAATAGCATGTAAAAGCCAGATCCCTTCAGACATGTGAAGCTAAGCAGTGCAGGGCCTGGTTAGTCCTGAGATGGGAGACCTCTGGGAACACCAGGTGCCACAGTGGGGCGGATGCAGCTATAAAGTGCCAAACTGTGGTTGTGTCCTTAGGTAACTTCACCTACATTAGAATGAGTCTGAGGTGTGCGTGTGAATGGTGAGGGGTGGGAGGGGAAGACGGCACAGACTGTAGGCCCAATGCAGCTGTGGCTACAGTAGTTTATCCCCACTGTGTTTGGAGGGAATGAATAATGATGTGAAGTGTCACTGAGCATCCAAAAAGCACTGTATAAAACCAATGCAATATTATTATTATTATTATTAGAATTGTGGGTCTTACTTGAGCTGGTTTTGTTTCGATGCCAGAATCAGAGCCCCTGTAGATGAACACTTTTCCATCTCCGTCAAACGGAGCTCCAACGGCAATATCTGTGGAAAGATGTACACGCTGTAAGTTTAAGACTTCCATTATATTGGTGCACATTTACGAAACGCTTTTATTGGTCAAGTGGCCCTCGTTGACAAGAAGAATAGTCCTAGATCCTATAGATACATCCAGTAGTCTGTCTTGGAGCTTCAGTCCTGGATCTACAGCTTTAGTCCTGGATCTATGTCGATCCACATTAGCAATTGAAATATACAGAAGCTATTCTCCTAGAGTCCTGGATCTATATAGGCTTCCCCAGGGTTTTCCCACTGCATTTTGGTTCCTTGCCGATGTAGGAGGGTCTAAGGTACATTTTGTTATATCCATCTACACCAGACGTGGATGAAGATGCTACTGTAACGAACACATAACGGTCTTACCTCCGTATCCGTCCTGGTCCAAGTCTCCGATGTTGCTCACGGTCATTCCAAACATGGAGTCATACGTTCCGTTGAGTCTGATTGGGCGAGAGTGATCGTCCCAGTGACCGAATGGATTCAGGTAAACGTAAACCGCACCTCCGATCTCGGCTTTACGGTCAAAGAAGTTCGGAGCTCCGACAATTAGGTCCGTCCATCTGAGAGCGGGAGGGAAAAGAGTGAAGAAAAACACAATAGAAAGAGGATGGGAGACGGTAGACCTCAGAAAGAAATTCAAAGGTCATTTAAATATACTACTGTACATGAAACAAAGATATTTTTCTGACAAAATACAATACCGATGCATAGAGAGAGACCGAAGAGAGAGAGAGAGAGAGAGAGAGAGAGAGAAACCAGAGAGAGACTAGAGTGAGACCAGACAGAGACCAGATAGCAGATATGGACCAGAGAGAGAGACCAGAGAGGCCAAAAGTAGAGATCAAAGAGAAATACCAGCGAAAGACCAGAGAAAGACCAGAGAAAGACCAGAGAAAGACCAGAGAGACCGGAGAGACCAGAGAGACCAGAGAGTGATCCCAGAGAAAGACCAGAGAGTGAGACCAGAGAAGGACCAGAGAGTGAGACCAGAGAAGGACCAGAGAGTGAGACCAGAGAAGGACCACATTTTGGACCCCAGTGGAACAGACTCCTCACCCGTCCTTGTTCAGGTCGGTGGTGGTCACTGAGTATCCGAACGAAGACGCCAGCTCCTCTCCCCAGAAAATGTGTTGCGGCACCAGTCTGTACACATTATCCTTCTTCAGCAGCACTACCGCCCCCGTGTGGTTGGCCCTGGGAGCACCCGCCACAAACGTCAGCTCCCCGCGGGACATTATCCCCATCGCCGAATCCACCGAGAAACCTATGGTGTTTTATATTCCAGAGATATTCAGAGGGAGGAGGAGAGAGCAAAGGTTAGAGCGGATTTTCTAACAGAGCATCTTTTGCTAGCATGTTGTCCTTGTCTTGTAACTGATTAAATGTGTGCTTTAAGTAGCTATTGATTTTGTGACATGTCCTGATTGGCTGAATGTTCTGCATAGTGCATTGGTGCTGCATGGGGGAGATGTCAGGGGTCTGGGAGCAGGTTGTAATTCAATCGCTGGGAGCAGGGTGGTTTTCAAATTAAGGGGCAAGTACAGCTGGTCTATGGGAATGTTTTGAGTGTTGCTGAACCAGAGAGAGAAAAGAGAGAGACCAGAGTGAGAGACAAGAGAGACCAGAGATAAACTGGAGAGAGACCAGAGAGAGAGAGACTAGAGAGATACCAGAAAGAGACACAGATAGAGACCAGAGAAAGAAGCCAGAGAAAGACCAGAGAGAGACTAGAGAGAGACTAATAGGTGGACAGTGTTTTAGTGAGAGATTACTGTACCTATAGTGAGAGATTACCAAATCTAATTGTACATATTGATAAAGCATGTCTACCAGAACATACAATTGATAATAACGCTTAAAAATACGTTTTGGAGTCACAAAACGAAAAAAATGTCATTTAGCCTGGGTTATAGCTGTTATCAGGCTTATCGCAGCTGGTTAGGTTTTTGATTTAAAACTATGGAATTATTTTAGTCTAATTTTAGTTCACTATTAGCATCACTGTCCATTGCACCAGTTTGTTGTTATGCCTTACATTCTCTGGGCTGGTACAGGGATTTTAAAGTTTGGGAACTGGAGACGCACGGGCCTCCCCTAATGCTTACTGTGTATCTGTGGTGCGTCGTGTGTAAACAGGGGCACGGACGTTAATGTAATTTATGGGCCTAGGGCTGTTCCTCCTTTTGTGGGAGGCTACAATGAAATGCATGTTTGTGTCTTGAGGAATGTGCATTTTAATCAGGTGAGTCAGTGGAGCAATAAGGGAGTCAGTGAGTATACAGGCCAGGCCCAGGTCCACTGCGGCGGGAGAGTGGATGGGATGATGTGGGACTGGGTATTTGTCTTTGCTTTAGGTATGCGCTTCCAATCGTCCAGTGAGAGATTGCCTTGAGTTGATTAGGTCTTAGAACGAAGCACTGCAAGATTCTAACCTGTCTCAATTGAATTAAAGAAGCAAATGGACTTTTGCACAATATTCTAATTTTACTGAGCGTTATAATAGAAAGAAAGAGAGAGTGACCAGAGAGACAGACTACAGAGAGACCAGAGAGAGACAGAAGAGTGACGAGAGAGAGAGAGAGAGATAGAGAGAGAGAGAGAGAAAGAGGGAGAGACTGGAGACTGACCAGAGAGAGACCAGGGAGAGACCAGAGAGAGAGACTGAAGAGTGACCAAAGAGAGACAAAAGAGAGACCAGAGAAATAGAGTGAGACCAGTGAAAGAAACTATGAGAGACCAGTGAGAGAGACTGAAGAGTGACTAGAGAGAGACTTGAGCAAGATCAGAGAGACACCAGAAAGAATTTGCGGCTGGATAAGGGATGTGATGTGGGACTGGGTATCTTCTTTAGTTTAGTTATGGGCTTCCAATTGTCCACTGACCAATTGTCTTGAATTAATTAATTAGGTTTTAGAAGATTCTAACCTGTCTTTGTTGCTTGAATTGAAATACAGAAGTAAAATGACTGTTGAACATTATTCTAGATTTCTGAGTTTCTCGCTGTGTAATAATAGAGAAAAATAGAGAGCAGACAGAGGGATTAGAGAGAGAGAGACAAGAGAGAGACAGACCAGAGAAAGATACTCGAGAGATAAAAAAAGAGAGAGACCAGAGGGACCAGAGCAATAGAACAGAGAGAGACTAGAAAGAGACTAGAAAGAGACTAGAGAGAGACCAGAGCGATAGAACAGAGAGAGACTAGAGAGAGACCAGAGAGACTAAAGAGACCAGAGAAAGAGAGACCAGAAAGAGACCAGAGAGATAGACTAGATAGAGAATGGAGAGAGATTTGTAAATGCCTCCATTGTGAGATCAATAAAGTGTTATCTTGAATTATTTAAAGGTCTGTTAACTCATTGAATGCCAGCCTATTTCAGAACAGGTACTCCCACAGTGCCAGCCATTTCTGATGATTTTTACTGATTTTTAAAGACCCACAGAATATTGTGTACTATGACTATCTGAAATCCAACACCAGATTCTAAAAGAATGGACTGTCTACTTTCATCAGCAAAAAGAATTTTGTTTATAGCTTTTTCCGTTCCCCTGTAATCCTCCGTCGAGTAGAGGGAAGTTTTACTGAAATCACCAGAAATCACCAGAAAGTTGAGAAAAAAGAGGCACAGCATGTGCACCTACATGTTTTGAAACCATTCAGAGAGCAATGCTGCCACCTGCTGGCTCGATAAAATATGGTCTCAAGTCATCCCCATATATATTAGATACAATAGACATCTGGGAACGTGAAAATAGCGAAAAAGGCAATTGACGGATTAATGCGTCAATGGCACACGACGTTACTATTTGCTTTGACGTATTTGTGCGTCAATGGGACACAATAATATACACTTTAATACACAACATAGCTGTGCAAATCTTTCTCTATTTTTTCATTTTTTTCTCATTTTATTTTATGGTTGTAAAAAAGATATTCAATACAATACTATGCATATACTAGCAGCATGTAAAATCACTGACCAGATGCGTTTTTGTATTCGTACCAGGCAGCATAAAACTGAACAATGCTTTAAAACCATAGATTTCACGCACAAAGGACAAACACAGAGCGACGTGCATTAACCTGAGACCATGCAGACGACAGACAGAGCAGGAAAACCCAGAAAAAAAGAGAGATAGAAAACAGAACTGCGCAGCTCCTGGGTAACAGGTGTGGTATGCGCCTGTGCAAAAGCAGCTATTAAAAGGTGTTAAATGGGGACGAGGAAAGACTTCTGCCACGGAGAAATTGCTTTTAGAGCCAAGGCCACATTCAAGGTCACGTGGGAGTAAAAAGCTGTTACATTTACGGCGCTGGCTGGGTGGGTGTGCGAGGCTTTACGGAGAAGGGGAAACTGGTGGACATTGTAAAGGCCTTTTCCATTCCCTTGTAAAGAAATAGTCAGTTTAAAGATATATATGGATGGCATTTATATATATATTGAGGGCAAAACGAACAGATCTACATATATAACTGCACTAGAATTTTATGCTAAAGTCAGAGATTTTATAATTATTTTTTTATTATGCTAATGTCAGAGATTTTATCCTTAATTCTTGCTTATTCATTATGCTGAAGTGACTTGCTTCTGTATGACGCTAAAGTTAAAGAATTTTTTACATAGAGTTATTGTTCATTTATTTTGTTTTGTGTAACTGGTGATGCAACACTGGAATTTGCAGGATTTCTTTTTTTTCCAGGGAGGGTAGTTTGTGGAAGGCAAAGGAGTAAATGGGAGAAGTGCTTTGCCACATATTTGTTGTATTTGTGGAGCTTTCTTTTCTTGACCGTATGTTAGGAGTGGACCAGAGAAAGACTAGAGAGACCAGAGAGAAACCAGAGAGAGACCAGAGTGAGACCAGAGAGACACCAGAGAGAGACCAGAGAGGGACCAGAGAGAGAGACTAGATAGAGACCAGAGAGGTACCCGAAAGATCCCAGAGAAAGAGACTAGAGAAAGACGAGAGATGTTTATTGTTTAATATTATAATCAAAAAGAACTATTTTCTTGACCGTATGTTTGGAGTGGAGTGACTGAGCGCTGACGTCACCACATGTTTGGAAACTAGCTTGAACAGGTTATTTGCGCAAGAATCTAGAGCCAAATGTATGCTTATATTCTTGGTAGCAACAACTAAGTTACCAAGAGCCAATCAGGAGTGGCGCAGGTCTATCCCTCTCGCACTACTCGCTGCTAAAACCTTATCCGCCGACTCCTGATTAGTCAGTCGTTAGGGCTCATAGATTTACAAATACAATATATTTAAACCACAATGTTTAAGCCCAATATAGCGTGTGTTTCCTTTTACATGTGATTCAATAAGATCCAGAGCGAGTTGGAGCCAAACTTTGTCCATGAGCACTTCCCTATTGGGCTAGCGGGTTATCATTGTCTATATATACACTCTATGCTTGTACATGGCAATTCTTTTTGGTGTGTTTAAACATTATTTCAATACAATCATACAGAAATACAAAAATAGCATCATGTACAGTATTAGCAGCATGCAGGTGTGGAGGGTCAGTGGGATATAGATGGGGCTAATACAATTGCATGGGAATTAGTGTTGGCATGGCGACGGTTCGGTATGGGGTGGGGGGTTTCTGGGGTTGGAGGGTTGTAAATGCTAGGAGATCTATAGAAACGCTTGAAGCCACGCTGAGTTAAAAGAGGAATCACCACAAATCGTTAATGACATCACACAGGTGCCACGCCACAGCAGTCAAGTCCAAAAACCATGAGTGTGTATCCTAAGAAAGGTTAAATCCATGTAATATGTTAAAGATCTAAAACTACAGTAAAGACACTACACATCACCAAAGAATCCTACAGAGCTCTTAACATGCGGACGGACAAGAGACGAGAGACATAGAAGACAAACTGTTCCTTCTTTTAGTCTGACCAGACCAAGTAAAGATAAATATATGTATTTATGTTTACATAACCAGGCATCACATGATATGACACTAATACTATCACCACATTCAATATTGATGTTTCCCTTGTTCTGGGTCTACAGCCTCAGTCCTGGATCTACAGCCTCAGTCCTGGATCTACAGCCTCAGTCCTGGACTACAGCCTCAGTCCTGGATCTACAGCCTCAGTCCTGGATCTACAGCCTCAGTCCTGGATCTACAGCCTCAGTCCTGGATCTACAGCCTCAGTCCTGGATCTACAGCCTCAGTCCTGGATCTACAGCCTCAGTCCTGGATCTACAGCCTCAGTCCTGGATCTAC